ATGTTTGACAAGTTAATACTTGCATACATTATGTGTTTGTTAATATTATACATGTTTATTGGCAGCAAACAAAATACCCCATCTGATGCTTCACTTTCCATTTATATATATAAAACAATGATGATGCAAATTATGATGATTATGACAATGATACGATATTCATGATGATGATGATGCTTATACTAATAATGAAGATATTATATATACTCTTTATTTTCACATTTGAGTGATTTACATAATAATACAATGTTATAAAGTGAAAGCTAACAATTAAACATATATACAATTTTGCATAACTATGAAACATTGGTGTTAATAACATGCATAACATATTGGTTAAGTACAGATCAAATTTTATACTTAAACTAGAAATAATCATCAAACTGATATAGATTAAATGAGTACATAAGTATTTACATTTTCATTATACATATTTTTCTTGTGATATACTTAAGATGCTTATACAGCTATCACTGATGTCAGTATCGTATTTTCTTTCTAAAAAACATAATTATGACAACGCATATTTAACATAGTACTTTTAAAGCAACATCATCGTCTCTGCGAGATTTGCATACATCGTGCATTTTTAATGCAATAGTAAACATAAGCGATTGCTATTCTTAAAAAAAATGTTTATGAACATTCCTGTTTTGTAATGATAACAGGTGTCTGCCTATAAGTTTTTGAAACTTCGTTTCGCTATCACTTAATAATATTTCTGAAACAACATCTTTGCCAAATAAATTATACAAAGTTTTAAACAATTCTTCGCGAAAAATGTCCATTCTATTACAAGTTACAACAACATGTTTTATTATATCATAGCAGAGTGTTCCACAATCGACACATTGAAATGTTTGTATTATTACATTTGCTTATCCATAATTTGCTAATCTGGACAGCGTGTTCTAAGCTTGTTGAGTTATAAGAACATTCCCATAGAATTGATCTCTCTATGTTTGTATGTAAAAAACGAAATCTATTCAAGTCATCATCATTAACCATCCTTTGGGTCCATTTTTCTGTTTCAAGAATATTCATTTTTGTTTTGCATAGTATTTTCCATGACTCTTTTGATGGAAAAACACCACTTTCTATATACTTTATTAAGTACATTGAGAGATTATATTTCCTAAGAATAGTTACGATATCTGGGACAAACCCACGCTGTTTTTCCTCTGCGGTACAAGTAAATTGATAATCTCACTTTAAACACATGTTTTGCTAAAACAGTGTTTGGCATGTCATATAATTGTCTTGAAAACCCTAGTTTTCTGAGTTCTATTTCAGATTCAATATTTTTCCAGCCTAACATACTAAGACACATATCCGTACGTGTTAGCACAGAGAACCCTTGTATCTTTTTTGCAGCTAGTCTAACATATCTATCAAGTCGTTTATAGTCAGTTTTCTTAAGGTTAGACCACAATTCGCAACCATATAATAATCTAGGTATACAAATTTTTGAAATAAGCGAAGCCGATTTGATTGGATTTATGTGGGCCGGGTCTATTTTAAGTGATAGTAGAGAAAAAAGGGATGCTTTTGCTTTTTCAAATGCACGCTCGACCTTGTCTGTGTCATTTAGTTTGTCATTTAGGAAGATTCCTACATGTTAACACTATGAACCTGATCAATAGGACAACCTCCTATTGATAGTTGAACCTGGGGTGTTTTTCGTTTTTTACCAAATACAATAATGTTACTTTTCAGTGGGTTTATGTTGTACCTGTATTTACATGTATATTTATGTGTAATATCAAGCATTTCTTGAAGGCCGGTGGGGTTAGTTGCTGATAGGGCTATATCATCTGCAAGAGTTGTCGCCCCTAAAGAAAGATGAAGGATGTTTACTACTAATTCACTGTTTTCTAATTCGTTTATCAAATCATCTATAAACAATTTATAGAGCCAAGTAGAAATCGTCCCTCCTTGTCTAATGCCTTGTCTTACTGGGAAGAACGTAGATTGAAGGCCATAAGCAGCGACACAACTAGACATATTTGCGTGTGCATCAACTAGAAGTGTCCAAATTTTACCAGTTATACCTAAATTTGACATTTTGTAGAAAACACCATCTAACCAAACCGTATCAAAAGCCTGTTTAGTATCTAACATGCATACATATACATTACTATTTAGTTCATTATTCTGGTAAATGCCTTCTTGTTAATTAAAGGATGCTGTTATTGCTCCTGTGCACTTTTGGTAAGCATTTTTAATTTTGGAAAATTATTACAAAGATACTAAACGTTGGACTTCGGAAAGGACTTCTCGCGTCAGCGACGGTGAATTTTACGAAAAATAACATTTTTTTCTTGATACTTGTTAATTTTGCATATCTGGATATATAAAATCAAACCCATGTCAAATTAGTGGCATATTAAATCGATTTTGTCTTGCATTTTTTTCCGTATTTTGTTTTGACTCTAAACACCATTACTATTATATCCGTAAAACGTGATAATTAAACAAATATATGATTTTTTCTGTAAGATAAATTTTACATTTTCAGCCACAATTAGACAACAGTTTCAGGGTCACAGGTTCAAAACTATACGGCTGACGGGTTCGACCTTTTAAATCGTCTAACAACACGACACTTCATGATGTAAGAACATTTTTACCCAGGCAACAACGTTGCATTGTGTGTAGTGGCAAATGTTTGAAAAAACATTATTGCTTGATGTTAACAAGCTAATGTCGTTGCAATGACACACAGGCACATATCATATAACAGTTTAAAACCTTTGAATCTTACCATCATAATAATGTACTTTAATTAGAATCTAAGTTATTTTTACGCCACATAACAGAGTTGCTGCATCAACGCGGTCGACCTTGTTTTTTGTTCTCTTTTATTAGTTTTTCGGCCGTATGTCGTACCGAAGGACTTGTTCTTTTGACGATGTACTTGCAACATTTCTAGAAAGGTTAATTGTTAACGACGAATAAACAAAAGAAAACCAAAAATCCTTACAAGGTGTACTTATGTGTGCTTATATAATATAAATCTAATATTTCCTTATCAGGAACCACTGGCGATTAAACAATTGTAAATTGTACTTAAGTGTAGGTCATTATTGTTGTTACTGATAGCAGGGCAACAAAATAAAAACTTTTAAAGATTATATTGTTTCAAACTATTTCAACATAGCATCAGTTTGTACAGTTTAACATGAGAATTAAGTAGACTTATATTGGGTCACGGCCATCTTACTTTCATTGATATTGTTTTATGCCTAGTTATTTGTAATCAATCCCCCCTACCCCGGGAAAAAGCGGGGATGTACATTTTCGTTTTGACATATAATGCTACTCATTTTCTACAAAAATCAACACCTTATCATGGTAAGAAATATAAATGGTATATGGTATATCATGATATAACAAGAAAAGCATTGATGCAAAGCATCAAAGTGCGTCCAAGCAAGAAATGCAGCAAGTAACGATGAACTAAGAGACATCTGATGACCATATTTTCTTTTCAATGGTTAAATAGAATTGAATAATTTGTATATCATAGATGAATGGGTTAACGAAAGACATTTTTCATCATGAACTTCGGTAAGCTTGCTAGAGATTAGAATATTTTATGTATTTTATTTGGAGCATACAAAACAGTAGTCAAAATAAGAAAAGTTTGTTGTTGTTGTTTTTTATTAGTTTACTTGTAACAAATGTGCAAACAGTATATAAAAATAGTAACAAAAGGAACTAATATAGTAATATTACGTACACATTTTTCATGTCAAATTTACAAAAAAAAATCTATTAATACCTGGGACTTAAGATACAGTAGTTATATTTCAAGTCCCAGATAAATACTGAAAGTAGAACACACACTGTGATGACAAATGTGGGATGCATTTCAAAAAGACCAATTTCAGGGGTTTTTGTTATACCCGTTAATAAAAATAATGGTACATTAAAAATCATGGCATGTTGATATGGTGTAACATTTTTTATCAATATAATGGAAGAATTTTAGACAGCTATGAAAAAAACTATTGTTAATTTATTTATTGGGTGATCAATCCATCAAAATTCGGGAAATCAGGGTCGATTTAAATTTCCACGTTTAGAAAATGTCAGGAGTACAATCAGGGGAGCTATTAATTTCCCGGAAAGTACCTACGAAAAAAACAATACTATGATATAACAATTCCTAAAAATGCCCTACTTATTTTTTTTTTTTTTTTTTTTTGATAAATATATAAATATTTATTGTTTAATATGTTTGCATTTCATTCCCTGCCAAATTCTTCAGTTCATTATTTAATACCATAGCGCAACGCGAATTACCGTTTCGTTTAGTTTCAGACGCGCTAAACTAAAACATGGAGCTAAATATAAGATGTGTATATATCTGTGACTAAAACTTCTCCTATAAAAAGATTTTCGTGAAATTTGTTCCCTATCTGACATGCTGAGAATCACCGAAGGAGAAACCAATATAATATTATGACTTTACATAATAGAAATCGGAGGGAATAGTTCTTTCCGAATTTATTTTTAGCTGTAAATCGAAGGGATTAATTGATAAAAATCGGGTTCATGGACAAAAACAATAGTAAACACAAATAGCTCCTGTGGGCGCGGATCAATAAAAATACTTTAAGACTTTGCATCCGTTTTTTTTTGTAAAAATAAATAGTATATTAAATTCGTGTAAATTCATGACTAAATTTATTGAACTCGTTGAATAAAATGAAATTTTGCTCGCCAATGGCTCGCATATTTTAATTTTATTCAACTCGTTCAATAAATACACTCACTCAATATCCTCTTTATTTAGTTTTAAGCAAATTTTGCTTCATGCATTAATATGGTCGCTCTGTTTATGCGTTGAAGATCACTGCATCAAGTTTACCTGTCATTACAAAGTCCCGGCGACATTCATATTGTGTTTGCTTTCTATTTATCTAAAAGAATCCCCCATTTACGCCAAAAGACAATAAGAAGTTTACTGCAAATACATCATTAATGCCATAAAGGTTTATCGAGTGTTCTAGATCTTGTTAACATTAATGAGCTGTCAGTGATAAGCAAAGGTGGAATAAAATATTTTTTTTATATATGTATTTCTGCAGACAGTACATATGATGAAGGTCCATTGTTTAATTCTAGTGTTAGTCAGTATTCTAGATGACCACGGAATAATTGAGGGTGAAGTACATAAATATATTATGATAAAAAATGTCAGGTACAAAATTAATGTTTATTAGTAAATTATGCCTTTGTGACAGATGTCAGGGATCTTAATTTTCTTATCTTTTTTGAAAAGAAATCTCAATATTTACATATAAGATGGTTACTATAATAATGGTGATAATATATTTAAGAAGTCATTTTTGGTATCTAGAAATGTTCAATAATTTATTTTAATCAATACAAATACTTTATTTTTGTCAATGTTATAATTATTTAATTACTTGTACCTCCATTTATTCAGTCATGTTTTTGACATTTTACAATTATATACTACATTATTCATAATGTATTCATATGGTTATTGACATTTTTATAACATAAATTAATTTTAAACATTATGTCATAACTTGAATAGATAATATACAGATAGTTTTTATTTTATTTTATAAGCTTTATAACATATATTGAATGACAGGGATGTTTCTAAATAATTATTTCCCTTTTTACAATTTCACAAGGCAGACTGAAGGACAGCTAGACCCTCTTCTGCAGCAGACATGAATGTATACTTCTTGACCTTAAACAGACCATGAAATTCATGTTGTGCCATGTATATTATAAGCATATAGTTTCATGATAGAAATTATTTGTGCCGAGTTATTTAAAATTTTCCATGAAGTCAAAAAGTTATGGAGAACATTTAACCTTGACCTTTGGGGTAGCAACCTGGATGTTGTGTTCTGCACATCATGTCATAATGGTGACCATTTCTGCCAAGTTATTAAAAAAATCAACGGTTTTTAAGATATGAAGCGGACACGAAATGAAGACTTGTTAACACTTGACCTTTAAATGTGACCTTGACCTCAGGGTAGCAACCTAATGATTGCACTTGTGTCAAGTTATTTAAAAGTAATCAGCGGTTTAAAGTTATGAAGCGGATATGAATGTAGACTTTTTAACAATTGACCTTCAAGTGTGACCTTGACGTTGGGGGAAGCAACCGAAATTTTGCGCTCTGCACATCGTCCCATGATGGTTATTACTTGTACCTAGTTATTTCATTTTTTTCAGCGATTTAAAAGTGATGGAGCGGACACGAAATGTAGATATTTAAGCACTTGACCTTAAAGTCTGACCTGGACCTTTGGGCTAGCAATCCAATTATTGCGCTTTGCACATCGTCTCATAAGGGTGATCATTTGTGTCAAGTTATTTAGAAATATTTTCAGTGGTTTAAAAGTTATGGAGCTCACACGAATTGTAGACTTTTATATAATTGACATTCATTTTTGTGTGACTTTGACTCTGAGGTAGCAACCCAATTATTGCGCTCTGCTCATCGTCTCATGATGGTGAAATAATTCAAAGTTAAGCAAACTTCGTGAGAAATTGGTCAAAAACCCTTTTATGATATCCGAACTAATCTGATAGTTGTATATGCCTTCATATTGAACAATCATTTCATTTTGTATGTATTAAGGATACAACTGTTGTCAAAATGGATGGGTTGTGTTTGAGGACTCATGTTACTTGTTTGCAGATGAAATAAACATTGACTGGACGGAAGCAACGGTAATTTTTATTCTCTTCTAACTAAAATGAAAAAGTTTCTTTGTTTTTCATTGACACATTCGGAATTGTTTTACGCAAAGTAGAGGATTGTGTAGTTAAAATTTAATACAATAAATATCATGCAAATGTATACTATTGTAAAGAAGATTTTTGGAGTAATTGAACCTTTGCAAGATTTTCAGATTATAAAAAATGTGTTTTTATTTTAAGCATTTCTGCGATGCGCACGAACATTCTCACATTGTGACAATAGAATCTCATTCAGAGGAATTGTTTCTCCGTGATCAATGCAAACGTTTATTCAAGACAGGTTTCCATTTTTATTTAACATGAATTGTTTTCTACCAATTCTAACAACTTAATTTAACTTAAAAAATTATATTTAAATTTTATTTAATGTTCTATAGTGGCCTACTTTCCCGAACGCCATTTCCTTTTCATACATGAAGAAAACTAAGCGATACTACTACTACTACTACTACTACTACTACTACTACTACTACTACTACTACTACTACTACTACTACTACTACTACTACTACTACTACTACTACTACTACTACTACTACTACTACTACTACTACTACTACTACTACTACTACTACTACTACTACTACTACTACTACTACTACTACTACTACTTACTACTACTACTACTACTACTACTACTAACTACTACTACTACTACTACTACTACTACTACTACTACTACTACTACTACTACTACTACTACTACTACTACTACTACTACTACTACTACTACTACTACTACTACTACTACTACTACTACTACTACTACTACTACTACTACTACTACTACTACTACTACTACTACTACTACTACTACTACTACTACTACTACTACTACTACTACTACTACTACTACTACTACTACTACTACTACTACTACTACTACTACTACTACTACTACTACTACTACTACTACTACTACTACTACTACTACTACTACTACTACTACTACTACTACTACTACTACTACTACTACTACTACTACTACTACTACTACTACTACTACTACTACTACTACTACTACTACTACTACTACTACTACTACTACTACTACTACTACTACTACTACTACTACTACTACTACTACTACTACTACTACTACTACTACTACTACTACTACTACTACTACTACTACTACTACTACTACTACTACTACTACTACTACTACTACTACTACTACTACTACTACTACTACTACTACTACTACTACTACTACTACTACTACTACTACTACTACTACTACTACTACTACTACTACTACTACTACTACTACTACTACTACTACTACTACTACTACTACTACTACTACTACTACTACTACTACTACTACTACTACTACTACTACTACTACTACTACTACTACTACTACTACTACTACTACTACTACTACTACTACTACTACTACTACTACTACTACTACTACTACTACTACTACTACTACTACTACTACTACTACTACTACTACTACTACTACTACTACTACTACTACTACTACTACTACTACTACTACTACTACTACTACTACTACTACTACTACTACTACTACTACTACTACTACTACTACTACTACTACTACTACTACTACTACTAATAATAACAACAACAACAAAGTTAATGCAGTCATAAAATCACAACAACAACGTTAAACAAAATCCGTATTTAAAATATGCTTGTAGCAGTATTTTATTTATTATAACAATATTGTTGAATTTATTCATACAATTTATGAATAACAATCCCACATAAATCTATTCCCATGAATATTTTGTCGATCGTCTGTATTGTATACAATTAAGTTTAAATTTTGTTGAAAAATAATGATTTGCTGTGCTATTAAAAAAATACAACTGTTTAAACACAATAAATGAGATAAACACATAAAAGACTAATATTTATTTGAAATCAGAAAAATATTCCTATCATTGAAAAATCAACAGGAGCTTCGAGGGATAATTGGTTCTGGATTGGGGCAACAGACGACGAGATTGAAGGTATATGGGTGTGGTACACAAATCATAAACCAATCACTGATGGTTACACCAACTGGTATCCAGGACAACCAGACCAATCATCAGTTAATCAAGATTGTGCCGTGCTTTGGGGACCATCTGGTTATACCTGGCATGATCATATTTGTGAATTGAAAGCACATGTAATATGTGAAAGAAAGTAAGTCAAACGTTATATTAAACCATTACTCTTTCATTATATAAAAAATCTCATTATAGTTAACGTTATATGATAGTTGTTACATAGACTTTCAAACAAACTTTGACTCTTACCTGTAAGAACATAAATGTGTGTTTTACTTATGGTTCATTTTTCAACTTAATGTTTGTAATTTCATGTGCAATAACAGGGCCTGTATTTCCACGTGAATAATCTCGGGTAACATCAGAACTTCATGTCATAAAAACATTCAACCGCAGAATAAAAATATTGTTTTCTTGTTCGTGTATTCCAATACAAATCTACAATTTTTAATTTGATTAAATATAAAAATGTATAATTATATTGTATAAATAATTGTTTTTGTTTTCTAGCATAACAGCTTCTAGAGAGCAGGAAATAATTGGTTGATGCAGAAACAATTGATTTTCTGTATGTTTTAAAAATAAAATGAGACGTAGTATGAATAAATTATGCGTTTATTATATTATTTTTTCTTTTAAACATTTATAGATATCATCCAGTTTGTTTTGCAATGAAAAATGGTAACATGAAATAATGAATTTAAACAATGCCGATTCTGTTTCTATATGCATGTATAGTTAACTGCAGACATTATCAGGCAAGAAAGGCATGTTAAGATAACAATGCAGGACTTGACTGCAATAATCATTATTTAAGTAGATAAATTTAAAAAATATTTTTTACTGCTCTTTAAAGTGAATTGATCCACAATGGTGGGTACTTTTCACCGTTAATAAACACGTTGACAGAATTAAGTTTCATACACAACAACAAACTTTGGGAGTGATGTTTGTAAAGAAAGATACATGATTCAAGATCACATATCTATATTTAGCCAGTTATAAATTGTTCAAAAACAAAATTTCATTATCAAACGTGTAATTGGTCATACTAAATTATTTAGAACTCTTTCAAAATTGTGTTGTGAAGAGATATTTTTTATGAAGATCTACATAAAACATTTTTATCGAAGTATCATTATTTTGAAACACTTCCTGAAAATGTGCCAGTTGTAGTTCATTCAACTTTAAGACAGTTATGCATTTTAATAATCAATGGCTCTTTTTAGGGCTTTAGTACAAATAAAAGTTCTTCTTCTATTAAAGTACCCTAAAAGTCAGGGCAATAATTGTAACGAACAGAGCAAAACTAATGACATTTATTATCTGCCAGAGTTAAAGAAGTAAATGTTGTTGGTGTGTTTGATGTTGTTGCTGTGTTTGTTTTGTTTTGTTTTACGTTTAATTTTGTTTTTAAAGTATTTTAGATGAATGTATTATAAAATGGTCAAATAACAACGAGCTTGTCCTGAAGGAGCAAAATGGGTTTCAAAAAAAGCGCAGTAACAATGGTCACCTGTCAAGCCTCACGAGTATAATTGATACACATAAATTGAATAAAAATTCATTTTCATTTTTTACTTTTATCAATTCCATGAGGCGTTTAACCCCATTAATAGAAGTTTGCTTTGGCATAAATTGGCCAGATATTGCATATCTTCATGTACTCTCTCTGCAGTAAGGTCAATGTACAACAAGTAAAATGGTTGCCTGCGTGGTTCATTTGTAATGATTTAAAGCTATCTATTAAACTACTTTCAATATTGTTTGGAAAAAAAGAAAGAAAGAAAGAAAATGATTAAATACCATTGTATGAATAATTCCGTGCAGAAACAAAATAATTAAAAAAAAGTAAACACACAAGTTTACGCAGAAAATATCTCCATCTATTATGGCAGATGCCACAAATGAATGTTTTAATTTTGTGGATTTTCACTGTAAACAATTTACTGCTTGTAAAATTTCAGATATTGTTTGTTTGTTTGTTTTGGGGTTTACATCACATCGACACAGTATAGGTCATATCGCGACGTTCCAGCTTTAGTGGTGGAGGGAGACCTCAGGTGCCCTTCCGTGCATTATTTCAGGCACGAACGGGCACCTGAGTAGAACCACCGACGTTCCGTAAGCTAGCTAGATAGCTTCCTCACATGAAAGAATCCAAAGTCCTTGTCGGGATTCGAACCCACAGCGGTGAGGGGCAAGTGGTAAAATTCAGATATATATTAAAGAAACATTGATAATTTTCAAACACATCATGCAAGTTTTTCCTCCTTAAACGGTAAAATAATTATAGAAAATTAGAAATATCACGTAATTTAATGTTATGTTCTTAATTAGTTGTAATTCGGACGTATTCCCTAGCATTGTGTTCACCGGTCATTTGAGAGACCGGTGCCCTAAAGGTAAATCCGTAACGTACCGGCAAACGGTCTTTAGCTAGGTTTTCGAATAGGTCAATTAACCAATCATGTACGGTTTACAGATCACATGCTCCTCCATGTACCGAAAACAGGTCACGTGCTCCTCCATGCCTCAAAAATTAAAAGCGTACCAATACCCTGCGGGCCCCGGCCTGCAGGAAATAAAATGTCACAATGTATACGTGTTAGTGGATTTTTTCTGACTGGTTCAGGGCAAGCACTGGTATACGTCAAGGATGTTCCTCATCTACGAGTTCATTCAATATTTACATTAATGATCTAACAATGTCTCTTACAGTCACATAATGCCTCAGAAACGAATACATGTATTCTTCTTTACAAAAGACAAACATTAGTTATATTACATTTAAATAATGATTTATAGCTTGTTTGATGCTTATCACCTGAAGAAAGTGGCTCTGAATGTGAACTTATTTTCCAATGAGGAAGCAAAAATGATAAAAAAATAAAAATATATTGACTTCATTTTCAGAATACTAAATCACTATAACTGTATTAAATGCAAAAAAAATGAATAAAATTTTTAAAGATAAATTTGCCATGGGTATTTTTCTTAAATTGTAACAGGACAACAAAAAGTAAAAATGATAAAAAGGCTTTTTTTGTTTTCTTTTCTTTGGTTTTTCCAGCGCACCAACACAATTTAGGTCATATCGCGCCGAACGGATTTATGAAATAGAAAAAGGCGTTTCTGGGGATCTTTGGCACTTAAAAACTATGAATAAAGGTATAGATATCTGCAATGAGAAAAGGAGTGTTTTATTTTCTTTCGTTGACTGTCTACATCAATTAGAGTAAATGCCATTCAATTACATTTGTGCTATTCTAAGTCCGAAATGACTTTAATACGTTCATTTTGTATCACTTTTTGTCGTATGGTGTAACAATTCTTAATTTATGCAGTTCCTTTCATTTAAAACATGACCCGACAGGTGTTCCGTACTTTCCCCATATCAATAAAATTTCAATTACTGTCAGCCCAACAAAGCTAAATTAGCTAAAAAAGATACTATGATAATACATAAATTTCTTTTAGGTTTAAAAAATTACTATTTCACTAAATATTTAAGCTTTTGTATTGTTTTTATAAACATAAAGATCAACTGTAAACTATATTTTCCTTGATTATATCTTGTTTTAAGTTATGGTAAAACAAAAGCCCCCTCAACACCTTGTTAAAAGAAGGAAATAAAACCATCTTGAATACTATAGAGACATGTAGCAAATTTTTTTTAACAATAGCAAATAACTTGTTGACATATTTAATGTATTCTACGCGTTCGACTTCATGCAGTTTTCTTGTACTTTTATTTCCATAAGTATAGACAAACATAATATTATTACATTTAAAACATATTTCATTGCTTATATCCAAATAAAACCTAGTAAAAGAAATCCTTTGGCCCATGGCTTCAACTTTGCGTAGACTAAAATAAGCCAAGGTACGTCCCTGAATTAATCACCACCATCATCAAAACAACTATCATCCTCACCGCAACCATTATCATCATCATTGTAACCACCACTCCCTCTACCACCATCACCATCATTATTATTACCAAATAATCCCCAACAACATCATAATTACAAAAACAAATATCATTCTCCCAAGAAACGTGATCATCATCGTCACGACTATCAACACCACAACATTTTCATCACCATCATCATCATCATCATAATCATCATGACTATCAATACCATCATCATCACCACCACCACCATCATCATCACCACCATAATCATCATCATGAGTAACAAAACCATCATCGTCACCACCTCCATCATTAACACCACCATCACCACCACAACCACCGTCATCATTATCATCAACACCACCACCAACATCACCACCACCACCACCATCATCATCATCACCACAACCACTATCATAATCATCATCACCACCACCAACATCACCACCATCACCACCACCACCATCATAACCACAACCATCATCATCATCACAACCATCATTATCATCACCATCATCATCATCACCACCACAATCATCACCATCATCAGCTTCATCATCATCATCATGAATATAAGTATCATCATCATCACCATCACCACCATCATCATCACCACCATCACCATCATCACCATCACCAACATAATTATCATCACCATTACCAGCTTCATCATCATCATCATCATGACTATCAGTACCATCATCACCACCTCCTTCATCATCACCACCATCATCATCATCATCACCATCATCATCATCACCACCACGATCATCATTATAATCACCGTAACCACCACCATTATCCTCACCACCGCCATCACCACCATCATCATCATCTTCTTTTTCTTCATGGTCATCACCATCGTTTTTCAACTTTTTGTTGAAATATAAGAAATCGTTTTTTTCTTTGCTGTTATGCGGTGGTTACAAAATTCCGAATACATTTATATCTCTTTTGTTTCTACTTATCTAAAAATCACCAACGACAAGAGGAATTGCGTGTCGAGTGTACTAGATTTTTTAAACTCATGAACTCCATTGTTAGTATGTTTGTATTGCCTGCGTGTCTTCATTTGAATTCAGAACAATTAGTAAAGGTAAAGCTTCAACAGCATGAGTCTAAGTTGATACAGAATTTGTTTAAGTTGATTGGAATAAAAAATTGGAGACAACACGTATGATGAAGTTCCAATATATCCGGATATTTCTAGTGTTAGCTTGTATTCTAGATGATCACGGCATAATCAATGGTCAAGTACATTTGAATTAACTTAGTTTAATTAGATTCAAAATTTTCAAGTACAGAATTAATGATGTTTATTACTAACTTATAAAAAAACTCCAATATTTTCAACATGTTGTTTAGAGTAAAGTTAAAGTAAAGTAATGTTAAGCAGATGCATTATGTGAAATATTGATAAAAGACTTGTATATGGTATTTGCTTTGATCTGATATTATATTGAACAATCATTTCATTTTGTATGTATTAAGGATACAACTGTTGTCAAAATGGATGGGTTGTGTTCGAGGACTCGTGTTACCTGTTTGCAGATGAAATAAGCATTACATGGGCAGAAGCAACGGTAAAATTTTCTTTGTAATTCTTTGTTTTTCACATGCCTATTCAGCATTGTTTTATCAAAAGCAGAGGGTAAAATGTTCGGTAATGTTTTAGATAACATATCATATTGAGCTGTAGTTAATTTATTCCAAAACATTTTGTGTGATTGAATAAAATTATAGCCAAAGTGATCTAAAGGTCGGGCTCCTTGGCACGGAGATGGCGTAAAAGTTACGATGAATCTCACAATCAAAATTAATCAGATTTATTTAATTGTAAGTTTCCAGTCCTAAGGAGAAAAAAAATTCAAAACACAAAAAAAAGTTTGAGTAAATTTAATGAATTTCTTTGCACGCAAGAATACTCTTTTTGTCCTGATTATAATACAAATTTGTAAAAATATATATTAAATCAAAAACCTCTCAAACAATAAAACAAAATTTATATATGCATAAAATAGTATCTATTATATAAATATATTCAAATGGCTGAGCAGGAGCAATGTGAAAAACAGACTCCGTCTTCTATTGTTTTAATGATTAAAATGCCAAAATATTTCTTTAAAACTTTAAGACGATTTGTTGCACATGTATAAAATTGCAAAGAAGTTCTTTAAGTCATTGAAACAATATTGAAAAATGAACGTCAACTTGTTATTTTTAGGAATTTTGCGATACGCACGATCATTCTCACATTGTGACAATAGAGTCTCGTTCAGAGGAATTGTTTCTCCGTGATCAGTGCCAACGTTTATTCAAGACAGGTTTCCACTTTTATTTATTTCAACTTAATTACAAATTTTAATGGCGACAAAGTATATTTAATATTTAAGAAAGCACAAATTGAACACTGTTGAAGTGTTATATTAAAGATACGGTTGCTACTGCGTGTGTAATATGAAATTGACAAGGAACTTTTGGACTCGGAATATGAAATCGAGGCTTGATAGAGTACAGTATGAATTTGATATTGATGTTTTGGCTTAAGAAAATGAAAGTTAGGCTACATTGAGTACAACTGTCATTTGATACGTTTTTTTGTAATGAAAACGAGGCTCAATTGATAAGGTTGGTCCAAGTATGATTTATATTGGAACATTAGGTCGTTCAGATAGTTCATTTAAAATGTTATTATAGAAATTTACAGTGAACACCAATGTTTAACTTGTAATCATGAGTGGATTCAGTGTTACTGATTGTCGCTGAATTTAGGATTAACATGTTAAAAATGAATTTTATACAAGAAATGAGGTTTATACACATAGGTCTAGTATTTATTCGTAATTAACATTGAAAAATTCTACAGGAGCTTCGAGGTCTAATTGGTTCTGGGTTGGGGCAACAGACGTCGCAATTGAAGGAATATGGATCTGGTACACAAATCATAAACCAATCACTGATGGATACACCAACTGGTATCCAGGGCAACCAACTAATGCAAATAATCAAGATTGTGCCGTTCTTTGGGGAAAATCTGGTTATACCTGGCACGATCACCATTGTGAACTGAAATCACATGTCATATGTGAGAAAAAGCAAGTAAGACGATGTATTTCTTTTTTACTTATAAAATAAAAATTTAAAAATTATTATTATTGTATGATATTTCCTCTTTTCTCAAAAAATCTGATTATGGTTTCAGATATATAATTGTTAAACATCGACTTAAGCAAGCACAATTACTTTTAAAGAACTAAAACATTTAACTGAAACTTTATATAAACATTAAACCATCATTTTTGTGTTTGAAAAAGAAATCAGTACAAATTAACATTCATTCAACCAAATATTTAATTACAATAACTGTACATATATTGTTACTTTACAAGTACATTAATGTTTTTGTCTAGCACAACCACGGCTAAAGAGCAAAAAAGGTTCTGGTTGATGATATACACGAACACAGAAGAGATTCGTTAATATTTATTTGTTCTGAAAACAATCAATGTATAATGATTTAATTACGACTCAATTTTATGATTATCTTATTCTTTTCAAACGATGAACTATGAGTTAATATCTTTGTGAAAAAGTCAATCAATCAATTTTGAAATGAAAACTGATACTTGTGTTGCTTATATATTAACAAACATGGTAAGAGTGTTGCGAATTCTTAATTATCATGTCATTTATCAAGTATTTCACCCTTACCTTTTTCCTAACAGCCACAGAAAACGTTCATGTGTTTTAACTAACTGAGCGCTTAACCGACTAAATGAGTATTTCAGTAATATGTCATCTGGAAATATGCTTAATACAAAGCAAAACACAATTCAGCTGAAGAAATATGTTCAAAAACAGTTTGAAATCGCCGCTTCGTGAAGACTTTTGTAATTGACCAGCTTGAAATGAATCTAAAGACTCTTTTCTTTAAATATTGTCTAGGTTTGAATAAGCTTTAACATGAACGGCAGTTAGTAACTACACGTTTTCTTGCGTCAAGGTTTTATCAAAGACGCTCGTTTTGTTATTTTATTTAAGTATACTCGCTTTTGTTCTTTGTTGCTGGAATTATCATTATCCTAGTACGATAAATGTGACTCAAAACTTGAGTGACCCAAGATGAGTGTGACTCAAAGGTTGAGTGTGTCTCTTCGCACGACCACAAACTTAAAATGATCATCCAAAGTTGTTTAATCTATTAAATATTCTATTTTGTTTCGTTTTAACTTTGCAATATCACTACTTAACGGTGAGTTTTCAGCTGTACTGGTGTAAGAAAATCTCAGCACGAAAGAACACATGAGTAGAACCACCGACGTTCCATATGATAGCTCGATGGTTTCCTTACATAAAAGAATCCAATATCCCTGGTGAAATTCGACCCACAGCAGTGAGGGGCATATGGTTTGGAGGCAAAGTCCATAACTACTCGACCATAGACCAGACAAAGGATTTGTGCATGTTTGGATCGAATAACTAATATACCTGTTTAAGGAAAAAATATTTTTGCCCTGATTCTCTTCAATGGCATCGACCTATATTCTTAAGTGTGTATAATTATTCAATTCATGATCTTGGTCAAATAACAAAGCTACAATAAGAGAAGGCGACAAACTCGTCAACTGAAGTCTACCATAATGATATCGTGTTTCAACATTTGAATAAAACATCAAAGCTAGCAAACAGATAAAAAATAAACCGATTTTGTTTTCATATAAATCATATGCTTATTAAAATATCTGTAACAATGTATGAAATCCAATTTAAAATCTGACTTTAAATTAAACGAGAAAATCATCCCTTCACTATTTCAACTTTAATGGAAAAAAATTAATGGCAATCTTAGAATGAGATTTAAAAAGAGATTCTATAGTTTTTTACTGTTTGTTTTTATTATTATTATTATTATTATTTTATTATTATTATTTCCTCTCTATACGTAGAAATTGAATATTTGCATACTTCACTATGAAATAAATGTCTTATTAAATGCTCATCTGAAGCATATTGCTTATACATGTATATGGCTACTTTAATTAAAGGTATATAAACACGATTAATGTGCGATAAACCATACCAGAGTTGTTGGCCTTTGATTTAAGATAGCAACAAACGATGCTTATCTTTAAAATAAAGTAACAATCAGGTCAATATTGTTATAATTATTCAATATATTTTCATTTTTTGTTCCATTTATTTTATTTTCATTTTTTGTTTCATTTATTTTATTCTATTTTTATTAGTATTAACATTGATATTATATATATTTATATTTGAACTTATATAAACCAGTTCTGGTTTAAAATATTTTGAAATTATGCGAGACATTTGTCCAGCCATTATAACTTTAAGTCATTATAGAGTATATTTACATTGGATTTAATAACTTGAGATTAAACAATAATAGTGACCCCGCATACATAAACACAAGGTAGAGAACATTTTGTACATTTTTTACTTTTGTTTAAAGATCAAATTCGGACAATCGTAATGTCCACACTCACTATTAAGATTTAAACCTTTCGAAGGGTAAGTTTAAATAATATCTAGAACAGTGTAGCAATACCTCATGGCCGTTACGTCATTTTAGGCATCATTTACAAGACAAATATCGCCCACTTTGAAAGGGAAAAATGGCCAATTGATATTCAGTTGCATTTTGTGCTATTATAAGCCCGAAATTAGTTTGAAACGTTCATTTTTGTATCCCTTTTTGTAGTAGGGTGTAACAATTCTTAATAGATGTTAATGCAGATGTTTTTATTTAAAACATAAGCCGACAGGTGTTTTGTACTATTCCCAATACTTAAATATTAATGAAATCAATTAATAAATCAATCAATCAATCAATCAATTAAAATGATTATTCTGAAATAAACACTATGACCAAATATTCTGAGATTTTGCACGCAAATGATTGGTTCAAACCTTCATCAAAAGCTTATAAATCTCGGAAGAAATATTTCCAAGTCCATAATGTCAAAAAATTTCAGATGAGTCTTTAAATTTCGTTGAGAGTCATGCCAGCATTTGTCTGACAATCATCTAATTTACGGAAATCATTAACATATTGAATGAATCAATTACTTCATTGTCTGTCAAACAAAGTTAAAAGAATAATATTGTTTTAATAATAAAGTTAAAATGCTTTGTCGCAATCAAGTCTCATTCAATTACGTTCGTGTCAAAAACCATGCTGTATATCTAAGCATTTCATTAATTCACTATCAGTCTTTATATTTTACAATGATTGTAACAAAAACTGATAAACTGCCATAGAGTCATTTTGCGATGCCCAAAATAGTGCATGATGAAAACCTTGATTCGTTAGGACATGCAAATGTATATATCGAAAAATAAACTAAATCGAAAAATAAACTAACATTTCGACGATGAAATATAATGTACAAAATAATTATATCAAAATTTGAATATATATTTCTAAATGCTGTAAAAATCTACTAGAAATATCTTATGATCAAATTAACATATTGTCAATGGTAAAAAGTCAAGAGAACGTTTATTTTACATTTTGCTTTTATAGTACTGAAAAAAAATTAAAAGGTAGTTAACGATTTTAGACAGTATAAATTTTTTTCTTGTCCATGTAACAGGAAAAATGAACAGGACATGTATTAGCATACCACTAGAGTTTAATACATCTTAATTGTTTCCTTTATAAAATGTCGCTTCCTTGTCACAAATTTCAATTAATCAGTCCAATAGAAATGAAATTATTTTCGTATGTCCTCCATCTTCGATTTTATCCGTTGACTATTTGTTATTGATTGTTTATTGAAAAGGTGTTCAATATATGGATTAAACGATAGACCGGGTATACAAAAAGTTTAAAAAGGAGTACTACAAACAGAAGTGGTATTGATCATTTTGATAGGTATTGGTACAATATATGGTGCTGCATGGTTGACGTTAATACCCCAGATCGATAAACTTTAATTTTATATTATTTTTATAAGAGTACATCTTACTTATAAATACGTCAAATATTAATTAGTTGTGGCAGTTGTACAAAATCCAATGTTAAGTAAAGTTCGTCTCTAAACTTTGGATATCATACATCATAGTCAGGTAAAGGTTTACCTTCTCATAGCTATAGAAGTTGTTAACTTTGAAACTAACATTATCAATTGTTAAGGGTTTTATTGAAAGAAAAACATAAATGGCTGCGTTGTTATAAATTACATAATACTGTTGTTTTGTTTGTATAAATGTTGTTATGCATGTAAACAAACACCATTCAGTCAATTTATTAAATGGGGGCAGGTAAAACAGGAAACTGTTCGATAGATAATACATTGTAATAAAGAATTAATCTAAAATTAATATTTTGTGTGATCTTTAGCCTAATTTGAGTACAAATAAACGTTTCAACGCTGTTCATTCTGTAGTCATTTTAAACAATAGAAATAGATATTATGAAAATTCTGAAATAATCTTAATATACATGTTTGAAATATAAAAAAAGAACTATTTTATTTTTGTACTGTTTGAAATCATCGAAATGCATCCGCAAAATTTAACAATTCATATAGACGTCTTACTTCTCTAATATATGACTTCCCTGTATAGTAATGGTTGATTTTTCTTTTAGAATTTGACTATTAAACATGGGGAAAGGACACGGAGAACACCCTCCGAGAAAGTAAGAATATATTTAAGCATGTTTATGATTTACGATCGATTTTTTTATCGGACTATTAAGCAGTTCTTTATCTTATTTTATAAAAGGGATGATTTCTTTATTTATACTAACTTAACTATGTTATACCAAAATACTTGAACCGTCTCTGAAATTATGTTTGTTTTGTAAACTTTACTAAACCCGCGATATCTTCGCTTTGCATAAAATGTAAGATGAATAACAGTTTTTCAAAAGTTGATTTGTAGAAGAGGTTTATTAGGTAGAAATATATCAAACAAATAAACCTATAATTTATATACCATTTAATCATTTAATGTTGTTCTTTTTTATAGTTTTACTGCCATTCATGATTGATTTACACATTCGAAGAGGTATTGAATCAAATACTGCTATTTCATTTATTCAGTAAAGAATTTATTAACTTAATGCAAATATATATTTATTAGTAACGGAGACTGTCAATTATATGGTATCAAATATTTGTTGCAGGTTTGTTGGTGATCAGTATTTTTGTGAGGTGTGTATATTTGGTTTCATGGCAGCAAGTATATCACTGTCCAGTCTGAGCGCTGGTATGGATGATGGGGGAACATTTCCCTACCAATACTTCTTCACTGGATTTATTTTAGGACCTATCGTAAGTTAAAAATATTATATAGTCATGATTGATGGTCGTCTAAATGAACAATTTTGGTCAGTTCTTCTAAAGGTTTCCAAGATTTGTAGTTGCAAGATTGATTCTTATGATAGCCCTATAGTGTTGGCGTAAAAAATAAACAAAGAACTCTTGGTGCATCACATATTTTGCACGATACTTATACGAAAGTCCTGCATATTTATTTTCTGTTAAAATTATGCAAGATACCTTGAGTAAAAGGCCTCTGATAAATAATCTTTGACCGACGACTTATCTAAAATTTCTTGTCTATCAGAAAGGATTTTTTGATGTTTTCATCGGTGCTATGAATCATGTCTTACACACACATAGCATAGAATGTATGAAAAGCCGCAGCCACATAATGAAATGTCTAGTTCTCAGGAAATGGTTGAGTAGTAACTCGACAAAGTCTTATAACAAATGTGACCTTAATTTATCTGTGATCAAACAATTTAGAAAAAAGTACAATATCTGCTATACGAGTTTATTACATCACACTTACCTTGTCGAAAAAAGAATTATATAATTAAAAATAAAACGATATTTCAATATTTTTTCTGCAGCTTCTCGTGAACCTAATATCAAGAATATATGTTGTCAACGCTGTTGAGAAGAAAGGAGTGACCAGAAAGAACATAATAAAAATACTGACGAAAACAACAATTGGTGTAAGTTCACTACTGTTTTCAAATACCATGTCAAATGTCAATAAATCTACTGTAATTTTGTTTGTGAAAAAAAAAACACTTGTAAAAAATGAAAGTTTTCCGAATTGTTCAATTGTGATTCTTTTTGTAATAAAACTTATTGATATTTTCCAGAATATTATCTGGCCATGGACCTGCAGAGTTGGAATGTTATGGTGTATTCCTGGTATACTTCTTACTGCAATAGGTGGTGTTAATTGTGGAATAGATAAAAAAGAAAATAATACTGTTGTTGTGAGAAACACTTGCTACTATGATATCGAAGGTGAACGGGGAGATATGTACAGAGGCCTTGCAATTGGTCTGCTTGTTGTGCATATATTTTCATTTATTTACTTGCTTTTAAGTAACTGTCCGGTACACACAGTCCTTGAGCAAATAAAAGAAGATCCAAAACCTGCCAGAAATAACACAAATAGACGTAATGCACAGCCTTTTTCCAACACAACAGCTCCAGCTGCGGGTACAAGTGCTAATTCGACGAGTGCAAGCGCTAATACAAATGGTGCAAGTGCTGCAGGGACAAGAAACACTAGAGAGTTGGCGGAAACGATTGAACGACTAGAAACTAGGATAAGAGAAATTGAAAACAGGGAAACTACTCGCGTCCAAGCGTTTAGTTATAGTGGAATTGCCGAACCACCTTCTTACAGTCAGCTTCTGGAAGAAACATCTATTGAAAACAAGTCAAGGGCACATCCTGTTTAAACATTTCATTGTTGTGATATTTACTTTTGTTATTGTTCATTTGAGACCTACGATATCGGATGTTGTTACCATAGTAGGGAAACACCGAAATCAATGGAAAATTAAAAACTGAGAACTATCAGAAATTCAAGTGAAGTAGAAAATGAAAGATGTTGATTTCTTTTGGGCTTATTTTCTCTTGTAGTTTTTTAAACAAAGTCATACATATAGCAATATTTTATCGGAAGTGTTGCGTGTTTTATTGACTTGTCTATTTTGTTTCACAAAGTAAATCGAAAAACTAAAATATTCATGTGAAAATAATATAACAATAGAAAGACAGACAAATTGTGACGAGGTATTTTCAAAACATTTACTTCAGTGTTTATTCTATTAAGTTAAAAACATTTTTTGTAGATTTCTGTGTATTTATGATTTTCATGAATTAAAGGACAAACGACAATAATTTAACAAACATCTCCCGTGAATTTTTAACATTCATCTTTCAAAATGTAATTTAGATACGTAATTTATTGCTAGTTTCGTGCATGTTATTAACATATAAGTCCTTAAGTGTTCTATTTGTATTATTTATTTTTAATGACCATAATTATCATCCTAACAAACAAAGTTAAGATTATTATTTTTCTCGTATTAATTGTCGAGTATAAACATTAAACATTCTGATTTATATTATTTGACAAATTTCCCTCTTTTTAAATATGTCTTTAAATACAGATACACCTTTCAATAAAAGAGTATAGTAACAAACAATTAAATAAAACCTATGATAAAAGGGAAATTTGTAATCTAATAAAAATGCCTTTTATTTGAGACATAAAATTCATGCATTTATGAAATATCACTGCTGTCAAAAATATACAAATTTATGTGTGTGTATATATAGAGAGAGATATATATCAGCAACCAGTAATCTAAGATAGGGATAGGAAATGGGTATCATCCTAATGTAAGAACATTACATAAAGTAAATAAAATGCATTGATAAGCAAAAAGATTACAGATGTAAAAAATAAAGTTTCTTTTATTTTGTGATTGGTCATGTATACATTCTCAATCCGACATAAGTTTATTATTAAATCAGATTGACATTATTCTGGCCTTAAAATGTTTCTTGTGAGCAAGCTCACCAGCAAACTAACGGAACGTCGGTGGTTCTTCTTAACTGCCCGTTTTTTGCCTGAAGAAACACCTTGAGGGGCACCTGAGGAATTCCTTCATCAGTCAAGATGGAAAGTTGTCATATGCCTTCTACGTGCGTCTGGCGACTAAAAAAAAAAAAATTAAAATTTTTTGAACACATTTATTAAGTTTGCAAAAGTAGTCCAAATAAAAAATTAAATAAAAATTTTTTGAAATTTTAATCTAAAAATTTTTACTTTTCAATTTATCAGAAATTATTTTCAATATAAACTATACAAAATTTTAATTTTGGTGTTTTATAGTATCAAAAAATATTCTTTTGGCCCAATTCCCCTAGCCTTTTTTTCCCCTTTTTTCCTTTCAATAAGTCTTATAGTGAATAAGTTTTTCTTTGGAAACAAATATTTTGAAATTTATGACATTTTTTTTCACCGTTCCTACTTTCAGGGTATCTATTAATACCCTAAAGCCAAAATTAAACTTTAAAAATTCATTTGCCATTTTTTCATAAGAATAAAAACTATTTATTCTGAGGCATATTATGCCTTTCAAACACGACAATATTCCCCTAAATATCAAATTCTTACTTTGATGGAGAAAGGGGAAAGGGAAAACCAATCTTGCAATTTATCAATTATATATTACTAGTATATTTGATTCACTTTTTTCGCTATTTCTTTAATAGCTTTAGAAAAGGTATAAATTAGCACGAAAGCGTAACACAAAAAACAATTTTGAAAATTTAAATTAAACTCAAATTTAGAATATAATTTAATATTTTATATTTTAACGGGAAATGCTTTTAATTATTGTTGCTTAAATTTTCCGGCTACGACTATTGTAAATCCGTGCGGGGCTATTTAAAACAATCTCTGCATACCCTTATATTATATTTTTGGTATCTAATTATTTTCGCATACCTTTTTGTTTCTATATTTAGTTTTTCTTTTTTTGATAATTTTCCTTTTAGGGTCTTCAAGCTATACTATTAAAACTCTTTTAATGTTTCCTTTCTTTTGCGTGCCTCTTTTATGGCTATATATACAGCTATATATGATATGCAATTGTCATAATCTCTAATTCCGTATCAAATTTTTGACTTATTTAGTTCTGTCCATTGTTTATTTGTTGCACTGCTTATCATTGAGACATTTAAAGTTCCTTGATAACCGCCGCAGATGTTTTTTTTAAATTCTGCAAATGGAGAATGTACTAACAGTGACTTAGCAAAATGGCATTACCCCTGGTCCCTTTTCAATAGTCCATTCTATGTATATTTCCGCCAATTGTGTTCTCAGTTAAGGCACACTACTTCGTTCACTTGGGTTCCATACGCCGCTTTTCATGGCATTGCACTAATGTGTCTCATTAAAGATTTTCCAATACCCTCCATGATCAGGCTCAATCAAACCGAGTCTTCAATATTGTTTTTCAAGTATGTCGTTTTGGACGTTCTAATGGCTTTTTTCTATTTTACTTTCCAAAGACATTTTGTTTGCACTTATCTTTGCGCTATATTATTCGAAACAGTATCCACCTTCCCGTCTTTTCATTTTAGTTTTTTTAAAGACTCTCCCAAATTAAAAATATTAATTTAGAGGAACGTGTATGGTCATTGCGCAGGTAACTGAACAAAAAACCTTAAATAAAAATTAACCAAACGTATTTTATATTGTATAAGGTCATATGGCGACATCGGAGGAAGCCCTCAGCGCCTTTCCAATCCTTATTTCAGGTACGAGAGCTCATCTAAGATGGTCAATAAACGAAGAAAATAATCAAAACTTTATTTTGTTACATTTTGCGTGTCCTTCATAAAAATGGATAAGGTATGTTTTATGCTCTTTAAAAGTATTATTTGAATGCTCTTACAATATGGTATTTTATAATTTTGACCTCGTCAAAATGTATTGCAATTTTGTACAGTCTAGTGTAGAAATAGGCTTTAACGCCATATTAAAACTGTATTCTTATCTTTGAACGAATAGTGTCAAGTTTGTGATAGATGTCATAGTTTATTAAATGATGATAAGAGCATTTTGAAATTATAACTTGATTTTGACCATGAAAGTTCTTTATTTATGTACAATTATAACATGCATTCTAGTATGGGATATTAGTTGGTAAAGTAGTATATTTTCAAGACTATCTTATTAAATGAAATATGTTGTTCGTTTAAAAAAAAACTTAATTTAAGATCAGTAGCACCTAAATCGCAAAATTTCGAATTCCGTGTTTTGCGAAATGTTTTATAAAGAAGATGAATTAAACGTTCAATCAGTTATAAACGCTTGCCATTATCTTACTTTTATCAAAAACACAGGTGCATGTTGTGAAAATGGGTGGATAACATTCGGAGAATCTTGCTATCTATTTGACGATGACCATCAACTTAACTGGACAGAAGCAACGGTACGGGCTATGATTACATAGATATACACTCAGCAGTGTATATTTGCTTTTGTAGTTATTGTATTTGGGAAAGCTAACAATATTTAAAAAAAATACTCATTATGTTACACCAATCAAGAAATTAAAGATTTTTCAACTAATCATTAAATTTATGAGTGATATACAAATATTAACATGAAAAACAAACTCTTTATAATATTTTACGAATGCAATGACTTCAGAAGAAAGAACAGTTTTGTTAAGTTCCTGACAGTTGAAAAAAATATACCCTTTAATAGTCTCACAATCGCCTACTGCATTTTTGTTCATTTGATATATTTGTACTGAGATGTTTCCGTAGGAATTGTTTGAACAGAATGTTGAATACATGCCTTTCTGTAAGTTAAACGTTGAATTTAATGTATCATGTTGTCATTCAGTGTGAAACACTAAAAATCTGAATAAAGTGTGATCCCTCGGAAGCATTTATCACAACAAAATTATATGAAAATCGCAGACTCGGTTTGATTGAATCTGTACATGAGGAATAATGATAATGTGCAACATTCCTCACGCCTCTAGCACCGGCTTGAGCGGTACTCAATTCTTAACACTTAATAGTGCTGGCGTCAATGATAAAAAAATCTTGTCAATTTTAAAACCAGATTGTATTGTATCATATTTTTCCTTACAAACTCGGAACAAGTTTGCATAATTATACTATTTCAGCAAACTTGTGTATCTTATGGCGGTTCGCATTTGGTGACAATTGAAAACGCAGATGAATTTTCATTCCTTCAGAACCATAGCAAGCGATTGTTTAAAGACGGTTAAGTATATTATTCAATAACTTACACGATACATACATTAAGAGTCGAACACACTGATAAGACAGACGACGGTCGTCCGATCATTGTTTCGTGCTGGCTGGACGGTGGTTTCTATAATAGTTAGGAAGTCACACGTGGTTTGTGTATCATTTCTTAGGCCTTAAATCATATGTTACTTCTTTACCAGCAGATATTTTTTCTTGTCTGTATTGTTAATGACTTTTGTCATTGTCTAACCACTCATCTAGATATATTTAATGTTTGAACCTTCTTTAATCAGTGAAACAGTATTACAGTATCTATAAATTCTGGATTGAAAAGAGTCTCCAAAACCAATGACAAGACAAGCAATTTCCCGAGCTTTACATTTTCGATTTTTTCAGTCAGTTCTTGTGAGGAAATGTAAAGTGAATCATTCTTTGTGTCCTTTATGCACAGACTTAAACAGTGTTTGCAATCTTAACCACTTAGTATTTGTGATCAATAATAAGAATGATCCAGAAGTACCAGAACTATATAACGAAACTGAGATCAAGTGTGGTAAAACTAAATTATATATGGCATATAAAATCATTTTGAGTTTTATTTATCATGCAACACATCAGATATATTTGTTTCTTTTCTAAAATAACTTATCCTAGTACAATGTTATAATTTTTATAACAACATCCACCAAAAGAGACAACTGGTTTTGGCTGGGTGCAACAGATGGAGAGATTGAAGGAATATGGGTATGGTATACCGACCGCACACTCCTCTCCAATGGTTATACCAGTTGGTATCCAGGGCAACCAGAAACGAGTGATAAAAATAACCAAGACTGCGCATGCCTTTGGGGTCATGAATCATACACATGGCACGATTATCACTGTGACCAGAAATCATTTTACATTTGTGAACAGAGGTACGGATATGTAATTATTTTTCTACATTTGAACATATTATCTTCATCGTCTCCTTTAGGGGCTTCGCTGGGAGATTTTGTCATAAACGGACTGAACTTTCTAGATTAATGTATAGTTTGATGTATGTTGGATCAATAACTCGTGAGAACAATTTCTGAATAGTTTAATTGTAACGATGACCAAAACTCAAAAGAATTCTAACTTAATACGGATTAAGAATTGCACAATTTCCTTCCGTTTTAAGAGCCCTAATAAATCTATGTAAGAAATTCAAATTTTATAACGGTATAGGCTATTGGACTTTTAATGTAAAATTACTCAGGCAATAAAGATTAATTTCAAATTAAATAATTTCAACTCTGAAAATTTGACTGAAAATTTGTAGAATCTTTATCGCATTTTAATGATATTTTTTTCTTTATCTTTCAGTTTGAATGAGCCTAGTATCATTGGCTGATTTAGCATGAATCAACGTTGATAGTTAAATGTTTGCAATTGTTATATATTTGATTATGCAACTGGAAAACCAAAGTGCCTCAGTATATCATTCGAAAGGGTAGATAATGACCAATAAAAATAAAACATGTTTGTTTAAAAAGGATTTACTATGAATAATTTTGCCAATATGATATAGTTACGAATCTACTCATTTACGTTTTTAAAATCAATTTCCCGTTGTTATCGAATATAGAATAGGGATTAAATAAGCACACATTTTGTTAAATAACTTCAGATATTCCAGACATGTTATGTGTACGATCACGACAATGTTACCACATGTATTTAATGTGGTTTTGAATTCATTCAAAATTAATACGTGAAATTAATAGGTCTTAATACGCCAATTATTGTTATGCATCCATCATTGTGTTATCTAGTTTTTAACAGATAAATACAAATACTATGTTCCGGTTATAAACTGACTCGTACAGTGTAGTATAATTTCTACACTCGAATCTGTTATTTCTTCTATTCAAAACTCAAAACATCATGAACACTGCTTATGAACAGTTATGACATCAACAACAACATAATGACCACTGCTTGCACCTTCATGAGCACTGCTTACACCATCAAAAATGACTTGACATATATCTATTGAAACGGGCGTTGGCAATGTTAATTTCTCAAAATAGTAAATGTTTGCGAATCAAGGATTCAAATTTGAATATTCTTAAACAGATAAAACTTAAAAGTGCAATCAAAGTTATAAAAATGTCATGGCAATATTAAAACCAGTCATATATATGTGAGTTGTCGTTAGCAAGTAGATTAAGATTAATATATATCTATAATGTTTAAATACTAATCTAATCGTACAAATACTTTTTAGATCTTTGTCGTCATATTGTTATTTTGGTGCTGCCATCTTTTGCATCGCCTTTTGCAATCCAAAATTGTGCATCATCAATATACAAAATCGCTAATTTAAAAGTAGTAAGTATTGTATTTTCAAATCACATAATTTATTTTAACTGTCTCAGATGTTGATAAATATATCAGCCTCAAGCGGTAAGATTTTCAGAAACAAACATTATTATGAGAAAACCACCAAATATTAAGTCAGTCGTAAAACATTTATTAAGATTTTACGCAAGCTGACTGACATAACGACTCTGTCTGAAAGTTGTTGTCGTTTCCCCAGCAACCACCATAAACAAACTGCTCGCACGTTGAATTTTGTGCGTTGTAAAAGAATCGTGGGAATAACCCTTTGCATGGTCCTGTTTCCTTTGGTAGTTTACATGCTGTTGAAAGAAAAGGAATATCGAGAGTCGTTTTAATAGATGTCAAAAAAGATAACAATAAACACAAGCGAACAATAAAAAAGCTAAACGAAAACCCCACTCGCGTATAACACATTATTTGTTCACAAAATAAATGCTTAAATAATTATTAATATCCAGTACACTTATTTGTTTTATACCTTTCTTTTTTTATTACTAAAGTATTTGCTACATTCTAAAAAAACACGTCAGGTATCTGAACATCTGAATTCAGCTTTGTTGTTCAATTGCCTTATTTAGAAGACTATAATAAAATATTTTTCAAAAAAGTACGTAAGATTTTATTTGAACAAACTTGGTAGACACTCACTAGAAGATGATTCATGCCAAATATCTAACACTAGCTCTTTTGCTTTTTTTTTTTTAAAGAAAAGTGTTTTCTTTCGGTTGCCATGACAAACTGATTTCTATATAGAATTAAATTGTAAAGGTGACCACCAAAGAAACATTCCTGTGAAGTTTGGATTAAATTGGCATGGCGGTTAACCAATAAAAGTAATATTTACGAAAGAATCGAAAGAATCGTAAGATTTCAAAATCTAGGATAAAAGTGGTAGCCTGCCGAAGGCACGTGGAAATATGAGGCCCCGTGTTCACAAATAGTATATCACGATCAAGATTAAATTATTGTGATACCACTTCCATTGCTGTGTAGAAATAAAATCAGTCTAATTGGTTAAAATGATAATGGTACATAAATACTTTTAGAAATGCTGATTTGCAAAAAACAAATATGTTTAAACTGAAACATAAGTTCCTCTCCTAGTAATGGTAAACAACGTTGCCCTTTTAGTAACATCAACCAGATTTTGTGCATATAAAATACGTACTATCAACTGTGATCGTGTCATTTCCGCTTGTATCACCCAGTGTCTTTCCCAGCAATACCATTGTCATAACACAGACAACTGTCATCAGTAAAACCTTCGTCATGCTTCGTACTTTCTTAAAGTATAATGATTTTTAAGTTATCTATAAAATGTCAAGTATTTTTTTTATCGAAAAAGTGTTTGCTTTGTAAAGCAGAACTTATTCCAGTCTCAAATTCAGAATCGTTTGTTCAGACAGATGTGTGTATACAATGACATATCAGAATTCTAGAATCAAACCGAAATTTATCATTTCTCGCCTTTGATGAAATGCGTTTATCTACTTTTGTAACCTATGTACACATATCACGTGTCAGGACAATGACGCTTTGAATGACATGTAGGGGCAAATAACTGTTTTGATATTTTAGTCAAAGCAATTGGTCAGTACACACCCTTGTAACTTTATAATAGAAGGTATCTGATAATACTAATATGTTTTTCATTATACGTGACCATAAAACCTGAACGTTGATGTTGGTATGTCCAGCATAAAATATCTATTCATGTATTTAGCAGGTAATAGATTGTTCTAGAACAAAATACATTGTCCTCGCCGAATAAATGTTAAGAACTCTATCAAGAATTCCTTTTTACAGAATCATTAAATAAAAAATCCAAATTTTACAATTTTTTAATCAATTATTATATTTGAAATTATTTTATTGGAAAATTCGTCCATTGTAGACAAACCCATTTTAAGACTTGTAGAGAAATCGCTTCTTATTGTGTACACTACCATAACAATCGAGTAATGTTGGCTTATCCATAAAATTTATCATATAATTTTATTTAGAAAAAAAGAAAAGAAACGATGGGAGCGTGAACGACAGTAATGTTGTCTGCCCCTCGAATCATGCAACACATCGGCTTGCACCACAGGTGACATTCTGTCTTCGGCTATAAGATATAAATGTCAAACATGCTATAATATAGTATACTATACTTAGACATCGTATAAAACCTTCATGAAATGAAAAACGTGATAGAGTTTTAACAACTAAGTATCTAGTCTGCATGCTGTATACCAAAGGTTCCAGGTTCAAGTCCCAGTTAAGACGTTTTTTTTTCTTATCTCATTGACATTGGTGGTCATTTCTTATAGCCTTCTAGCACAAAGTAGTTACTTATAACTTTTAAGGTGATATTTCTTTGCAACTATTAAACCATACTTCTATGAGATAAGAAATAATATATACAAAAGTTCACGTAAGTATAGAGCAAAATGGGCTATGCCACAAGTTATAACAACAGTTAAAGTTATTGTATCTTTGTAATTAAGGTTCTTTTTCATAAAACGCACGGAATTCCTGTTACGTAAGAGGTCTGATAGTACATACAAATATTGATCCGTTTTTTCCATGAATAAGACTTATGAACATATATAGTGGTATACCGACATTTTGAGGCCGAATTCCGCCCAGCAAGAAGTATCTTCTATAGGTGACGCGTGCCTAGGTCACGGCACCAAAACAAAATCAGATTTTATGACATTTATTAATTTAAATGATGTTTTGCAAATGAATAAAACTAATCAAGCCAGCTTGGATGTCACCGGACGGTCAGGGACGGCCAGTTTATGAAGTATATGAACCTTTACCTTTCACACGGACTTATTGGTTCAATCACCGACAAGTATGTGGGATGCTTGCTGCAATTCACTACTCGGGGAGAGTATAGCTAAATAAGTATATAAATCAGTAACTGTTACATCAATTTAATCATGTTTGTTTTTTATTTGTTTATTTATTTATTTAATTTATTTTTATTTGTGTCATTTCTTTCTATAAAGTACAAATTACCGTTTTCATTTCATGAAATAGACAGGAAATGGTGTACCCTCTGATTCTTAAAATTTCAAACCGACAATCCAAATAATTTTTGAAACAGAAATAAAGTTGTATCATTGGAGTACATGGCACTTTAAGAGAAACTTTCCACGCGTTCGGATTGATCTATAGTTAAATTTTAAAATAGTAAATAACATCTGATGATTTTTTAGCGTTGTTCCTTTATAACAGTCGTTCCAGTATTGTAACATAATTATTGATTCATTGTTTGATTGATTGATTGATTGATTGATTTCATCATGGAAGCATTTATTTTTGCTGATTAAATATTTTTTTCCAAGTTTCCGTGTTACCTGTACACACTTTTCAAGCCTAGAATAAAGAAATTTACTGAAATGCAATTGTCGTATAAAAAACTATTTAAGCTGGCTATGACAGGGAAAAAAACTTTTCTCGCATTAATAAGATCCCACATTCCCCATAACTATCACATTAAATCTTTAAAAATGAAACTTAATAGATCTGCTTACCTTGTTATTGAAATTTTCCTTAAATGAAATTTAGCAGTGCTGGTCTAAACTTAATGTTGTACGTGCGAGTATTGTCAATATTTATGAAGTTTTATATATAAAACACAGCTGTTATGTTTACAACCATGTTGACCTCATAGTTTATCAGTTGTTGAGGACACTTTATTGTTTCCATTCTATTTTTGGAAATGAAATTATTTACAACTTTCACAATTTATAAAGTAGAAAGCAATATAATTTTTAAAATAAAAAATCTTTCAACTATTCATTGAAATATCCGAATGTAATATTACTTGGTTTAGGGCTTAAGGTCTTATATAGTGTAACAAAGACCTTCCAAACTAGTACAAAATTGTTTTTTCAATGGAATCGGACACATGGTGTTTAAATGGTTGGCTCGAGAAAATGGCGGGGTTTTTTTTTTTGAAAATTTATACACTTCATTTACAGGAAAAACAAATCGTCTTTCAGAAAAAGACAATACCAATAGGAAATATTCCGGACATATTGCTTGGGTTAGGGAGTTGGGCCTGATATTGTGTAAGGAAGATCTTCCAGACAAATACAAAATCTAATTTGTAATGGAATAATACAAATAATTTTTAAACAGTTGACGCGAAAAAAATGGTGTTTTATTTTCTGAAACTTTATGCACTTTATATACAGAAAGAACAAATCGCCAGTCCTAAAAACGACCGTGCCAATAGGTCAAATAGGTTAAATAGACCATTTGTCTGAAGCCTTTGCAGATTCGATTTTCTACTAGTTTGGAGGGTCTCCCTTACACGATGTAATGTCCAAAAACCTTACCTAAGCAATATGTCCGGAAGATTATATATGGTGTACCATTGGATAGTTTATTGAATTTTTCTAACCAACAGTCTATTTTCGCACGTTTTTCACGTGCAATAAAATTTTTTACTGGTCATTTAAATACATGTAGTTTTGTATACTGGTTGTAAACATGGCTGAGTTGCAACGTGATTTGAGAGAAGAGCCAATAGCTTATTGAAAAATTCGTGGGTTATTTGATAAATGCGCGTCAAACATGAAAACGGATCTAGATTACGTTCATGGAGAAAAAGGTAGGTATATTACATAAAGTAAATAAAAAACATGTATAAGCAAATGGATTACAGATGTAAAAAAATATAATTTCTTTTATTTTGTGATCGGTCATGTATATATATTCTCAATCCGACATAATTTCAGATATTATGTTTATTATTTAATCAAACTGACATTATTTTGGTCATGAAATGTTTCATGTTAGTAAACTATTCAGCAAGCTGATGGAACGTCGGTTCTACTCAGGTGCTCCTTGTGCCTGAAATGATGAATGGTTTGGTACCTCAGTCAAGCTGTGCTAGAGCGATATAAAACACAACCAAAGTATATATTTACAAGTATATATTTACTTTTGCATACATATTTAAGAGTTTGCAACATGTAGTCTAAATAAATAAAAGTTTGAAAGTTTATATCATTTTACATTTCATATTATGAAGGCTTTTTTCAAATATAAACGGTACATCAATAACGCCTAGCATTAATCAGTATAAAAGTAAAAAAATCGAGTCAATTATGTGCAATGCAAGAGAAACTATTGTATAATTTATTCACCGAAGCAACAGGGACAATGAAGTCAATATTTAATATTCTTGTTCCCATCTAGTCAGCCATATTGTAACGTGAATGTGCAGTAAACTATATGAATCGGCGTTAGACGTTTTTTTCCCGCCAAGATTAAAATACGTTTGCGCCACATATATGTTTGTTTGTTCTCGTCTTTGAACGAAAAAGAAAACAGACCATTTCTAGGGACATAAATCCTATATAAGGTGGCGAATTTAGTTTCAGTATGTTACATTTGCATAAATCTTTCATCGGATATTTAATTTCTTCAAATTATTCCTTATGAAATCGTTTACATGCATTAAAATATAAATTGATCTCTAATATCAGTCAGTTTGTTTGCTTTACCTCTTTTCAGTCATTTAACGTAACAAGGGAAATATATTATTTCAGTAATAATGAAGGTTTAAAGTGAAATAGGTGAATTATATGACAAGTAAGTTTATATAAACACTCCGGTCATTTTGAATCACAATGCTCACCAGATTCTGATTTATGGATATGTAAGTCATGAATATATTTTCCATAAGACCAATATTTTTGTCAATTATGTATATTTTTATTCGTCGTGATGATCCTGTCTAAGTGCTAGAATGGACAGTGGTGGAAATTTCCATATTTTATTTCAAGATTTATTCTTTCTCTAATTGTAAGTAACATGATAAATTTTAAACTAGCGCTATTTATAAAAGGATACACTGACACCGTTGTGTGTGTATCAAATATAATGTTTTTCTGCATTTCGTGCAAATGTAAGAATTCTGGCCATATGTCTGTACATTCCTTCTGTGTTCGCAGATTAATAGCCTTAACAGCGGAGATGTTTAAGATAAAAACACAATCCACACCAAATATTCGCCTTAATGTTAAAAGGTTTTTAATTTTATGAGATAAGGAGTAGGGAAAACAAGTGTTGAATGTATCAATAATATGTTGTTTGTTACATAAAAATGCATTTAAATGAATTGTTTGAATAGTTTATGCATAGGAAATTCAGTGTACAACTTACAGGTCTGAAGTTAACCGTTAAATATTATCCGGAGAAAAATACTTTTCCGTACGTTAGTTTTACGAAAGATAAAAAGCTTTACGGTTACTCACATTTCCGAACTCTTTGAATTCTATGTTTAAGGGAATAGGGATAACAGTATCGAATTTTAAATAAAGAGCTCCAAAAGGTATAGAGCTCCGCCAAACTGCATTAATGAATAGGATCTTACAGCTCTATTCTAGATGTAAAATCCCAGAACGTTTGGTTTCTATTAGGATAGATGTTGAGCAACAAAGATGTCACAAACATTGGTGGTTTTACAAAACATGTCCTGACTTTATAATACTGCACGTTTGTAACGTCGTTTTTACATTAATTCGCGAAATTTTGATCAAGCTGTTATATATATACGTGTGATTTAAAATTATCAAGCACTGCCGTTATTACATTGATACCTTATGTGAAAAGTATTGGATATTGTGTACAAAGGTCTTGAAACTGGAATAGTTGTTCAGTATATTTATATTTTTAGCTGTAATGAACCTCATCTTCAGACGGTATCAGCATGAAAAACGTAACACGAAACAACATCATAAATACATTTAATAACTCAACATGTGGGGTATTTACCTTTTTTTTGAATACATTCAATTTTATTCATTGCTATGCATTGGAGGAAAAATGCTAAAACATCCTTGATGATAAATCTAAACATATTTTTCGGCTATAACTAGTTGTAAATGCCGTGCGGAGGCTATTAAAAGCGATCTCGTGTATACAATCAGAGATATTATATTTTTGGTCATTAAAATTCTTCGAGCATGACTTTATTGTTATTTGTCTGGTAATTTAATTTGTTCTGTTTTATATTATAGTTTACTTGTAGGGTCGTTCCAATATTCCGATGTAAATACTGTATTTATAATCATTAAATTATTTTGTTTCCCATTTGTGTCCTATTTTTGGGCTATATGTGATGTGCAGGTTTCATAATCTCTAATTCGGTATCAAAGTTTTCGCTTATTTAGTTCTGTCCCTTGTTCATGTGTTGGACGATGCGCCGCTTATTATGGAAACATTTAAAGGTCCTTGATTACCGCCGCGGATGTTTTTAAATACTAATTTACATCATTTTCATGTTTAAATTTTGAATTCTGCTTGAGCCGGTGCAAGAGGGTGTGGATGGTAGCTTGCACTTATCAATGTCAGTGAAAAATATGACTCATTTTTCAAAAAGTCCTTTTTTAATATATTCATCCGCAAAGTATAAATTGATAAACGAATAGAGAATGCGTACTGTCACTTTACGTTTCAAGTAGTATACACATATGGTACGTTTTATATATAAAATTGATAAAATCAGGAACTGTGAGCGGTATGAATATGTCTGTTAATCTTGCTTGTATTATAGAAACCCATCTGGCCATGGATATGTAGATTGGGAATACTGTTTTGCATTCCGGATCTCATCCCGACTGGTGGCGTATATTTTGAAGTGCGAAAGAAAAATGGCACAGTTGTTAATATAAGAAACGCGTGCTTCTATGATGTTGAAGGTGGATTTTCCAATTTATACAAAGGCTTTACAGTGGGATTAATTGTTCTCCGAGCTTTTTCCTTAGTATTTCTGTTGTTTAGCAACTGTCCATAACAGTGTGCTAGAGCAAAACAAGGAAGATCTGTGGGGAAACACTGTTGCCCCAGCTACCGTTCCTCCAGTTTTTAACCGGTCTGAACCAGTTACTACGAATACAGCACACGCTTTAGGTGCAACTAATATAACTGTTACAGGCAATGAAGCTTAACTGAAAGTAAAGATACAACGACTAGAAGCGAGGTTAGCTGAACTCCGAGCAAGAGAGGCTGCAAACATACAACGATTCAGTGTTGTACCGCCTCCTCTATTTTACAGCGAACTGATGACTTCTGGTCAAATTAATAACAACAGAGCGAGCCCTGTCTACACTATTAATGAAATTGAAAACTTTCAATAAGCTGTTGATGACATCTGATGCAAATACCGGTATTTCAAATGAACAATTTTGCAAACAGACAACAGATTGGACGGTCATTCCAAAAACATGTTTTTAAATAACATCTTTTATATATCTGCTTCCAAGTTTTATTGAAATTTTGTTTACTTTTGAACACCTTGTTGTATCTTATAAACTATTTTGTAATACTTGTTTAACATGTTTGCAGTAAGTAAACAATTTTTTATGTAAAAGGTATGGAACACAATGTACATGTATAAGGAATCTTAATATCATGTTCACATATCATATGACATATAATATACTAAGTTTGACCGCAATCATTCAGCACATACTTTACTGTAACATAGAAATGTTTAAAAAATTATTTTAAGGTTCCCTTTTATACCTATTTTGTTTCTGTTATTATACTAATTTGCTAAATTCTAAGTTCTGTCTAAAACTTGTTTATTCATTGTTTTCCTTTACCTGCAAATAGGGGGTTTAGCATAATGAAAAATAAAACCTGGTCGCTTTTCAAAACTCCATTTTATTTATTAAGGCCCATTGTGTTCTCAGTTAGGGCACAATACTTCTTTAACTTTGGGACCATACGCCGCTTTTTATTGCATGGTACAAAAGTGTCTCATTGAAGGTTTCATTATAAGTGCCGTATGAACAAATCTGCGGATGTTTCATAAATCTAAATTTCAACATTTTTATGTTTGTAAATGTTGAATTGTGCTAGGGAACGTGGACGGTATCTTGTATTTTCTATTTCCCTCCATGATCAGGCTCAAACAAACCGAGTCTGCAACATTTTTCTTTTCAATTTTGTCGTTTTTGGACGCTCTTTAGAGATTTTTTTCTCTAGATATTTTATTTGCACTTATATTTGCGCTATGAATAATTGGAGTAATTATTTCAGTATGACACTTGCTATCTCTTTTTGTTTCTTTAAGGGTGTATGTTAATTGCGCAGGTTACTGAACAAAAAACTTGTTAACTGTTCGCATTAATATAAATTAACCAAACGTGTTTATATTGTATAAGGTCATATGGCGACTTCAGAGGATTGTCTCGGTGCCTTTTCAATCCTCATTTCAGGAACGATCGCTCTTCTAAGAAGGTCAATAAATCAAAGTATTAATTTCGTACATTTTGCATTTCCTGCATATAAAAATGGATACGGAATACTTTTTATGCTTTCCGAAGGGAGAGCATATAGTCGCCACCTTGTCCATATGTCCGTCCGTTCGTCTGTCCGTCCGTCCGTTGTCTTTTCTTGTCCGGAGCATAACTTGAAAACCCTTGGAGATAATTTGTTCAAACTTCATACAGTGGTAGAGGGCATTGAGGTCGGGGGGGGGGGGGTGCAGTGTCAAAGAACCATAGCTCTATTTTGCCCGGTTTTTGAATTATCTCCCCTTATAGAAAAATCTTGTCCGGGACATAACTCTAAAACTATAAGAGAAATCAACATGAAACTTTGTAGGTGAATAGATCTCAATGAGTAGATGTGCAGTGCACAAGAACCATAACTCTATTCTGTCCGATTTTTAATTATCTCCCCTTTTAGAAAAAGCTTGTCCGGGACATAACTCTTAAACTATAAGAGATATCAACATGAAACTTGTAGGTAAATATATCTTAACTGGTAGATGTGCAGTGCACAAGAACCATAACTCTATTCTGCCTGGTTTTTGAATTATCTCCCCTTTTAGAAAAATCTTGTCCGGGACATAACTCTTAAACTATAAGAGATATCAACATGAAACTTTGTTGGTAAATAGGTCTCAATGGGTAGATGTGCAGAGCACAATTACCATAACTCTTTTTTTGCCTAATTTTGGAGTTATTGCTCTTTGTTAATTTTAATACTTTGAACTTTGACCGGAACATAACTCTAAAACTATAAGAGATATCAAGATGAAACATTGTTAGTAGATAGATCTCATTGAGTAGAAGTGCAGTGCAAAAGAACCATAACTCTGTTAAGCCTCATTTTTTAATAATCTCCCGTTTTAGAAAAATCTTGTCTAGGACATAGCTGTAAAACTATAAGAGATATCAACATGAAACTTTGTAGGTAGATATACCTCAATAGGTAAATGTGCAGTGCACAAGAATCATAACTCTGCCTTGCCTAATTTTGGAGTTATTGCCCTTTGTTTATTTTTACTTTTTAAACTTTGTCTGGGACATTACTCTAAAATTATAAGAGATATCATCATGAAACTTTGTAGGTAGATAGATCTCTTTGAGTAAAAGAGCATTACAAAAAAATATATCTCTGTTTTGTCTAATTTTGAATTATCTCCCCTTTTAAAAAAATCTTGTCCGGGAAATAACTCTAAAACTACAAGAGATATCAACATGAAGCTATGTAGGGTGATGGATCTCAATGGGTAGATGTGCAGTGCACAAGAACTTGAACTCCGCCTTTCCAAATTCTTTGTTCATTTTTACGTTTTGAACTTTGTCCGCGACATAACTCGGAAACCATAAGAGGTATCAACACGAAACTTTGTAGGTTGATAGATCACATTGATTAGAAGTGCAGTGCAAAGTACAGTAACTCTGCCTTGCCTAATTTTGGAATTATTGCACTTTGAACTTTTTCCAGGGACATAACTCTGAAACTACAAGAGGTGAACTTTCCTGTGTCCAAAACCTATTCGGGGAGCATCACCCGGCTCTTATTGCTCTTTAGTTTTATTTGAATGCTCTTACAATATAGTATTTTACAACTATGTTTTCGTATAAATGTATTACAATATTATAAAGTGTAGTGTTGAAATAAGCTTTAACGATATTAGAACATTACTGTATTCTTATCTTTGAAGACTTGTGTCAAGTTTGAGATAGATGTCCAATTTTATCAAATATTAAAAACATTTTGAAATGATCACGTAACATGAAAGTTCTTTATTTATATACAGTAATTGCATGCATTCTAGTCAAGTGTGGGATATCAGTTGGTAAAGTAGATTATTTTCAAGACTATTTTCTTAAATAAAATATGTTGTTTGTTTTAAAGAGTTGCCTAGTTTGAGATCAGTAGCAACTACAGCGCAAATTTCGAATTCCGTCTAATGCGTAATGTTTTATATAGAAGATAAATTAAAAGTACAATGAGTTGTAAAAGCTTGCCATTATCTAAGCTTTATAACAAACACAGGTACATGTTGTGAAAATGGGTGGATAACATTCGGAGAATCTTGCTATCTTTTTGACGATGAACATCAACTTAACTGGATAGAAGCAACGGTACGGACTATGTTTGAAATGATTAATTACATAGATATACACTCAGCAGTGTATCTTTGCTTTTGCATCGTTTTTATAGGGAAAGGAAACAGTTCTCCCAAAAAAATAGACTGATTATTTTACACCATTCAAGAAATTAAAGATTCTTCAACTAATCATCAACTTGAGAAGTAATATATGCATAAGCTGGATGCATAAGTTAATATTGTATGAATGCAAAAATATAAGAAGGAACAATGTTGTTAAACCAGTGGCGGTTGAAAAATGTTTACCCTTTAATATATCACAATCGCCCTACTGCATTTTTATTTTAAGTATTTCTTCATTTAATTAATTCTATTCGCTGAGATTTGCCCTTTTGAATCGCTTGAATAGAATGTTAAACACATCTATTTATGTAAGTAAAACGTTGAATTTTATGTATGATGTTGTCATTAAATGCGAAACACAAAAGTTTATGACAACATCTTTTCATTTTTAAAACCAGATTGTTTTTGTATCATACTTGTCATTATATACTTATTCTTATACTATTTCAGCAAACTTGTGCATCTTATGGTGGTTCGCATTTGGTGACAATTGAAAACCCAGATGAGTTTTCATTCCTTCAGAATCATAGCAAAAGATTGTTTAAAAAACGGTTAAGTATATTATTCAATGACTAACACAATCAATGTATCAAGAATTAAACACACTAAAATGATAGATAAGTAAGACAACGGTTCGAACATTGTTTGGCGCTGACTGGACAGTCACTATGATGGTTAGGAAGTCACGCGTGGTGTGTGTATCATTTCTTAGGCCAAATATCATATGTTACTTCTTAACCGGGAGATATCAATTCTTGTCTGTATTGTTAATGACTTTATTCAGTGTTTAATCAGTTATATTGATAGATTCGGTGTTATGTATATCTAGTTGAATAGTCTTAACCCAGTGCAAATGTATTACTGTACACAGTATAATTAGATTTTTGACGGGGAGGAGTCCCCGAGCAAGCTGACTGACATAGCGACTCTGTCTCAAAATTATTGGCGTTTCCCCAGCAACCACCATAAATGAACGGCTCGCACTTGGAAGTCTGCGCGTTATAAAAGAATCTCGGGATAAACGCTCTGCATGGTCCTATTTCTTTCTGTAATTGGCAATCTGTTGAAGGAAAAGGGCAAACGTTTTAAAAGTTGTAGCAAAAAACAATCGAACAAGAAAAACGAAACAAAAACCCCAACAAGCTTATGTACGGTGTCCTTATCTTGTTAATGTCGTCCGTCGTGTCTCAGGGTCGACACACGACAATTAAAAGTGACATCGCGACAATGCGAAGCGACACTCGACAACGCAAAGCGACGCTCGACAATGCCAAACGATCTGTCGCACTGTCACCTAAAAATGCCATGGTCGCATAATCGATATTTTTAAAATGTCGTAAAATTGGCATTTTCTTGTTCTGATTTTTTTTTACACTGCGGCACTCCACAATGCGAAGTGACACTCGACAATGTGAAGCGACATTCGACAACGAAAAGTGACACTCGACCACGCGAAGCGACATTATAAATAATATCGCATCGCATTGTCTTGCGTCTACCGGTACTTGGTCAAAATTTACCGGTCCTATTAAACCCTGCAAAGTCAAGCAAAGTCACACAAAGTCTAGCAAAGTCGGTTATTATTTATAGTTCTGTAATTTTTTAACATGATTTTAATATTCGGTAAAGAAATTTGTTCTTTGAACGTTCGTTTAAGGCAAAAAAAAAACTTTGTTCTTATTTTTATAACTGTTACATGACTTTGTAGAATTTAACGTACAATCAAGTAAAGTCTAGAAAAATCCGGTTTTTTATTAGACACGCGGCGTCTTGTAGAAATGCATTTGTCCATATAAAATTTAGACTTGATTTTGTTTATTTATTTTTGTTTGTTTGCTTTAACAAAATCACACTTTTTTCAATTTTTTTTTAAATATAAATAGCTAATAAAAACGTGCCAATAAGCCGTTTATAGTCGATCGTTCTAAAACTAAAGCGTTGAAAGAGGTAACGACTTCATTTGCTCCGCCTCTGTTGGTGTTCGGCTCCAACTTAAATTGTCGCAAAATTTGATATGATGCTCCGTATGCTAGCATTTAGTCATCGTTGACAGGCGGAAGGGAACCAGGACAACTTTGATCAATAGCACTTGTCAAATCATCGAATTAAAAGATACAAAGCCTAAACCACGTCCACTATCAGAGAGGGGGTTCTTCCTCAACCGTTAAGAAAATACGCCAAACTCTGCGCACCGGTTACGCTGCGACCAGTAAGGGGATATCACTGCAGAACAGTTCGTCCTCAAAATCGAACGTTATGCAATTCGCACAAATATTTAAATGGACATGTTCTCGGCATTTATTGTCTTGAATTCATTTTGGTATACCAATCATTTCAATTTTACTTGTTATCAAATTTATTTTGCTTCGACCAGACGTTTCAATCTTTGTCGCAACAGACAATCATTTCAGAATTTCAGACATGGCATTTCTTTGTGAATCTATGCATTACATTCCACTTTTTCACAAAAATATGTAACTTAATTATGAAACAACGAGCACATGCCAAGAACATGGAGAAAAATTAATTTGTGCTTCGGATATTCAACTGTTACAGTAATAGAGAACGATTTTCAATGCTGATTGACTGTTCACATTAATTTGGCGGCGTCTTTGATGTGCAGCATCAACGTTTAACTTGTTCTTTTATTATTAACATGGTTTCAGCATTCAGTTAAGTTATATATTCTTTGAAAGTCAAGGTGAAGCAAAAATGTTGAGTTTTAATTAAATAAAATATTTTTTTAATAACGGGGTTTGTGGAATTTAGCATAAAGATAAGCAAAGTCCGTAATTTTTTTTTAATTCTATCATGATTTACCATGATTTCAATATCCAGTGAAGAGATATGTCTTTTGGAAGTTAAGTTTAGGCAAAAAATGTTCAATTTTAATCAAGTTTGTTTTAATTTTTGCTGGGGCGAGTAAAATTTAGTGTTAATTCAAGCGTAAAATAGCATCTATAAAATAGTGCCAAAAAGTATTGCAAAGCTTAGCAAAGTCCGTTGAATTAAAAATTTATATTATTAAACATGATTCTAATATTCAGCCACGTAAAATTTCAGGCAAAAAATAAATTTGTTCTTATTTAAATAAATGCAATAAATGGGGCGCGTAGAATTTCGCTTTATATATGCGACAGTCACCTACATAAACATTCAAATGTCAACATTTGAGGTCAGCATTGTGTCATTTCTTTACATACAAAGTCAGTTGTTGGTATATTTCTTATTGACTTTAATTATCGTCTGTTTTGCTCATGATTTATTTTTCTATAGGATCACGGCAATAAGCCACATTGAATTTACAGTTCAGCCAAAACAGGCTGTCAAACAGTTTGCCAGTACTAGTTGCCTTCACTTTTGCAAGGAACTGAAATTTATGTACGACCAGAGTATAGGTACAGTGCCTAGAACAGATTTCATTATCAATCACAACGAAAGTGACCTGCGCCGTCTGGGAATCGAACCTGGGTCGCCCGATTCAAAGTCCAACGCTCTACCTATTAAGTTAGTCCTTTTTTCGTCTCTCTTTGATAGGGGCGGTATGACATATGTCATTATATAGCATGAGAATTTTGTTAAGTCATATATTTGACTTAAATATATGTACTAGCTGAAGCTTATCCTACTAAGGTCAGTCATATTTTAGCAAAGTCCAAGAACGAAAGAAAAATCGAGAAAAAAACAACAAAAAATTCTTGCAAATGTATTTTTGTAGGTCCCTCCTTTTTATCAACAGACAATCTACATGTCAGGCATAACTTTATATACATTATATAGTTTTAAGGAATGGTAATTATCCGTACATTAACAGAGTTGTATGTAAAATATTAAAAGGTCTAAATTCAAAATGGACAGACCAAATCCCGTATAATTAAAATGTTATGAAATATATTAATATCACATTATAATGTAAAATGATCTCCCCTTTGAAATGCAAAATATATAAATCTTGAATTGATATTTCTTTGTGATTTAATACATGAAGAAAGAGTAATGCACAATTTAATAAAAAAATAATGTTAATTACCTCTTCTTTTAAAAGCATAATATTGAAAAAAAAATTTCTTAAAATAAAATGATAAAATAGTTTCAAACTTTGTGGTTGAACCAAGTTATAAGAACTTAAGAAACTGCATTACGTGAAAATTTAGCTTATAATAATAATAATAATAATAATAATATCTTTATTTAAAGAAGGTTACACATTAAGAACATACAATAACAATCATATATATCTTATTTCCAAAGTGGCCTTCTGAAAAAGAAAACAACAACAACAGGACATGCATAGGTAGAAAAATGAATGTATAATATGTAATTTTTAGAATAATACAACTCATAAACTTTCGACAGGCACTCAACATTTTTTGTTTAAACATATATGTATATTGCATCATTTGTTCGTTCGTTCATTCGTTCATATATTTATTCATTCATTCATTCACTCACTCATTCATTCATATGAACATCAAGATATGCTTTGTATTTTTCTTTAAAACATTTAAGGTTATTAACATTACGAATATTTAAAGGTATATTGTTCCAAATGTTCATGCCATAATAAGAAAATGTGTCTTTAATATAATTTGTTTTAGGTCTTTTCCATAATACAATATCTTTCCGTGACCTAGATCTTAAGTTATATATTTTGTTGTCGGATAAAGTCATCAGTTCTGTCATATATGTCGGTGCCATGTTATTTAAAGTTTTAAAAACAAGCACCGCCGTGTGGTATTTACATCTGTCAAGGAACGGTAACCAATTAAGAGTTTCGAATAGATTTGTTGACGGAGATCTTTGAGGTTGCTGTAAAATGATTTTAGCAATACGTTTTTGTAACTTACAAACATTATTTATGTAGTTTGTGTTTCCTTTACCCCATATAATACAACAATAGTCCATAATGGGCAATATATATGCATTGTAAAATAATAATTTCATATCAAAGTGCAAAAAATACGATATTTTTTTCAATAAGGCAATTTTTCCGTTAAGTTTTTTACAAACATTGTCAATTTGCAAGTGCCATTTTAGGTTGTTATCTATGCAAATACCCAAGACTTTTTGATCAGTTACATTTTCAAGAGCTATTTCATTTATCTTAAGAATTAATTTTCTCATAATAAGCTTAGAGAAATCATAATGCATAAATAATTGCTGTTTTTATTTTTTGTTGTAGTTTGTTGTGTAACTGTTCAAAGCAATCAGTTATTAATAGGGATTCATCATTAAGGGATTTATTTGCGAATATTACATGGTTACTATCATTTATTGTATTATACTTGTATACTTCGGTATAAATTGAACAAAGGTGGCCACAAAAGACTGAAGTGTTTTAAAAGAAAGATATATCATGATTGCATTGCATTACAGTTGACTGGTTACAAAACAGTCAAATACGACATGAACAATATATCTTGTAAATATTGTTTTTAAAAAGTATGTTAAATCATTAAAGTTGTTAAATTGTAATGTGTACTTATAAATATAAATGAGCCGCGCAATGACAAAATCAACACAATGCATTTGCGACCAGCATGGATCAAGACAAGCCTGCGCATCCGCGCAGTCTGATCAGAATACATGCTTTTCGCTTACAAACCCTTTTACAAGTAGAGAAACTGATAACGAACAGCATAGATCCTGATCAGTTGTGCGGATGCGCAGACTGGTCTGGATCCAAGCTGCTTGCAAACCCATTATGTTTGGTTCCCCCACCTTTTTATTATTTTTTTTGAAGAATATTATTTTGGGATCCGTTGTTATTCTTGAACAATGCTAGAGTTATCGTTCTTCAATTAAATAAATTGAATAGTATGTTTAATTTGGTTTAGCATAAAACGCAATGAATAACTTAAAATAAAATAAAGATAAAATAAAAGCTTTTCTCGTACATGTTAAGGACATGAAATGTTTCTTTCGTAAGCAATGTATTTTAATCGCCACAAAGAATATATTCACTTTTGTTCTGATTTTATTTGTACATGTAATGAATTACTTTGATTGATTAATTTACTCCATTTGCATAAAGTCTCCTTTTCTTCAAAAGCCCCATGTCCATAGTTTAGTCTCCTAATCCTTCTTAGAACGTTTCATAATCCCCACCCCCCTTCAAAGAAGTGGAGGTATATTGCTTTGCATTTGTCTGTCGGTCGGTCGGTCCGTAGATGGTTTCCGAGTGATAACTAAAGAACGCTTAGACCTAGGAACTTCAAACTTAGTATGATGATTATTCATGACCAACAGATGACCCCTATCCCTATTGATTTTGGTGTCAAGGGATCAAATGTCAAGGTCACATTGACCTTGTAGGTAAAAAAAGTTTCCAAACAATAACTAAAGAACGCTCAGGCCTAGGAACTTAAAACTTGGTATGCTGATAGCTCATGACAAGCAGATTACCCTATACATTTTTGGGCAAGGGGTCAAAGATCAAGGCCATATTGACCTTGTAGGTAAAAACGGTTTCCGTTCAATATCTTGACAAGCTATGGACTGTTAGCCCTCAAATTTTGTAGGTGAAATGGTCTTGGCCTCTCCCCACCCCCCCCCACCCCCCCCCCTTGCATTACCAATGATCCTGGATCCGCCCGTGATAATGATATGAAACCAACCTTTTCCTTTTCAAATCTTTATTTCACTTCACAAATACACCTAGCTGTTTAACAAATAAGATAACACATTGCTTTTCTGAAAAGTGAATTTATGTTAATGATAAATCATAGTAAAAATTAAAAAAAAAACCGGGTTTTGCTTGACTTTACGCTGAGTTCCACAAACCCGGGCTATTAAAATAGAATTAATTCAATAAAATTAAGCATTTTTGCCTTAAATAAACGTTCAAAGAACATATTTCTTTCCTGACTACTAAAATCATGTTAAAAATGATAGAAATAAGATAATTACTGACTTTGCTGGGCTTTGTGTGACTTTGCCTGACTTTGCAATGTTTAGTAGGACCGGTAAATTTTTACCAAGCACCGGTAGACAAAATGTCGCTCCGCTTTGTCGCGTGTCGCTTCGCTTTGTCGCGTGTCGCTTCGCGTTCTCGAGTGTCGCTTCGCATTGTAGAGCACCGCTTCACATTGTCGAGTGTCCATGGTGTCGCTTCGCATTGTCGAGTGTCATGGTGTTATAATCAGAAAATTAACGCCATTTTAAAAAATATCGCTTTGCGATGTTAAGTGTCGCCTCGCATTGTCGAGCGTTGTTTCGTACTGCCGCACTGCTGCTTGGCATTGTCGATCGAGTGTCGTGGTATGCATTTTTCCTAACCCCGACACTCGACCATGCGAAGTGACAATGCGACAAATGTGAAGTGACAATGCGACAACGCGAAGTGACGGTCTACAATGTGAAGCAACACTTGACAACGCGAAGCGACATTTCAAAAATGACGTCCTTTTTACCGCAACATTTTTAGGCGACAATGCATGTCGTTTGACATTATATCGAGCGTCGCTTCGCATTGTCGAGCTTAACTTCGCATTGTCGCGATGTCACTTAGCATTGTCGTGTGTCGACCCTGAGACGCGACGGACGACACAATAAATGTCATGACAATAAAGGACACCGTACAAATGACAATATTTTGTCACAAATTCTAACACTATTATTCTAACACGATCCGCATTTTCCGTATTAAACATATAATGATCGAAAGTGTGTGTAAATAAGCATGAAAATCACTGTTGATCTATTTTAGACATGTGATGTAACCATTAAAATGCGGCGCGCTAAAAATAAGTACGAAAAAATAAGTGACAATTTAGCTTGATATATCTAGTACGGTCGCATCTATGTAATATTAAAATCGTGTTATCTAGAATCGAAATAATATAAACCAAGTAGTGATTTTATCGGTGATATAATTCGCATCCGAAATTCAAAGAGTGATTTTATTTAGCGATATAATTACTGTTAGGAATATATTATCTCTTACTTAATGTCTAGAACGATAGTCTTATTTATTTGATGAATTTTCGTAATTATTACTAAGCATTAAATTAGTTACTTTCCTTTAATCTTTGTGAATACGTAGCCACATTTTTATTATTTCATCTATAAAAAATAAAATCAGCTATTTACAATTGAGCCACGCCATGACAAACCAACATAATGCATTTGCGACCAGCATGGATCTAGACCGGCCTGCGCATCTGCGCAGTCAGATCAGGATCCATGCTGTTCTTTTACAAAGAGAAACTGATTGCGAGAAGCATGGATCCTGGTCAGACTGCGTGGGTGCGCAGGCTGGTCTGAATCCATGTTGGTCACAAACCCATTATGTTGGTAATGTCATTGCGCGGCTCAATTTTGACTGAGTGCAAGCGTAGCATGTCGTGGATCGTCCACTTGCCTTAATTCAGGACTAATTTTGACGTTGTATGATTGTGATGTACATGAATTTAAACAATAAAGCATTGTTGCACACATATTAAACATTAGTTCCTCTTCGAGTAATGGTAAACAAAAGTAACCAGGTAGTGTAGGTTTAGTGCGTATAAAACACATGCCGTCATTACCTCCATTCACGAATCTACCAGCCACTGTCTTTCCTAGCAACGCCAGTGACAGTACACAGACTATCGCCGTCAGTGAAACCTTTGCCATGGTTCGTACTTTCTTAAAGTATAATTAAATATTTCTCAAGTTATATATAAAACGCTTTTATACAGTTGTAATGAAAATGGTTTTGCATTGTAAAGCAGAACTTTATCCTAATTCGAGTTCAGGATCGTTTGTCAGACAAATTTTGTAATGGTATATCAGTAACCTAGAATCAGACAGTAAGTGATAACTGAATTTATTATATCTCGCCTTTGATAAAATGCTTTTTCTTATTACTACCAAATACAATTTTAACCTATTTACACATGAATGTATTGTAGGTGCAAATAACTGTTTTGGTCTTTCAGTCAAAGCACAAGATTATTACACTCCCTTGTAAGTTAATAAAAGAACTAATAATTATTCTTTATCGTGACAATAAACCATGAACTTGTTATTATACGCCCGTTTCAAATATGGGTCGTATTATTGGAACGTCCCTGGCGGAAGGACGGGCGGACGGTCTGGATCGGCGTCAAATTTTGTCCAGAGCATATCTCCTACACACATGGAGGGATTTTATTAAAACTACATAGAAATATTCACCACTATGAGAAGCCGTGTCGGGGCATGAACCAGGTCTTGATGTTAAAGGTCAAGGTCACACTTAAAGCTCATTGAAAAAAGCTTGTCCGAAGCAAACTTTTTACATGCATTTAGGGATTTCAATATAACTTGGCACAAATGTTTACCATTATGAGATAATGTCGCGCATAAAATTCAGGTCCCTTCAGTCAAGGTCAATGTCACACCTAAAGGTTGTTCAGGTAAAGATATATAATATTTGTATTAGGACCATTTTGTGAGCATTAATGAGGGATTCAAACACACATGGTCATTATTATTACTACGGCTGTGACAGTTGTAATTTAGGTCAATATAAGCAGTGCCAAGGTCACAAAAAAGGACGAAATATACAGATTTCGTCCGGAGCATATCTCCTTCACACATGGAGGGATTCTAATGAAACTTCAAAGAAATGTTTACCACTATGGAAAACAGTGTGTCGTACATACACCGTCTCTAGGTTAAAGGTAAGGCCACACTTAGAGGTCATTGAAAAATGCTTGTTCGGAGCAAAACTTCTACATTCATTTTGGGATTTTAATGTAACTTGTCACAAATGTTCACAATTGTGAGGCTATGTATTGTGTGCATAACGCAGGTCCTGCTTCAAAAGTCAAGGTCACATAGAGAGGTCAAAGTAAAGATAAAAATAGAAGATATGTATAGGAAAATTGTGTACCTTCTCATTCTTAAAATGTCAAATAGGCAATCCTAATGATTTTAGTTTATAAAAAATCATCGGAGTACATGCATTGCACTTCATTTTTGTTAAATGTTAAGAGAAACTGAACACGCGTTCGGATTTCTCTGTGGGTAAATTCAAAAATGATGATTTTTGAGCTGTCGTTCCTCCAGAACAGCCGGTCAAGTACTGTAACATGATTGATTGATTGATTGATTGATTGATTGATTGATTGATTGATTGATTGATTGATATTGTTTGATTTCATCATGAAAACATTTATTTTTGCTGATTAACTATTAAGAACATTTATTAAAATACTATGGCGTAAAAATACTATTTAAGCTGGCTTGGACAGGGTAAAACGTTTCTCGCATCAATAAGTCAATAAGATCCCGCATTTCCCTTTAATATCTAAATAATAATAATAATAAAAAAATATGCTTACCTTGTTAAAGAATGTTACTTAAGTTAAAACAGTGCTTTAATGTTGTACGTGCGAATATTGTCAATATTTATGAAGTGTTATGTGTAAAACACACCTGTTATGTTACAATCGTGTTGACCTTATGTTTTATCTGTTAAAGACAATTTGAGACGTGTCATGACGAAACCAACATAATGTTTTTCGACCAGCATGGATCCAGACCAGCCTGCGCATCCGCGCAGACTGATCAGGGTCAATGCTGTTCGCTTATCAACTCTATTACAAGTAGAGAAACTGATAGCGAACAGCACGGATCCTGATCAGACTGCGCGGATGCGCAGGCTGGTCTGGATCTATGCTGGTCGCAAACCCACTATGTTGGTTTTGTCGTGACGCGGCTCATTTATTGTTATAAATACAGTTCATTCTATCTTTTAGACATGAAATTATTTATAGTTTGCAGAATTTATAATGATAAAAGCTATATAATTTTCAAAAATAAAAATCTTGCAACTATACAAGTATAATTACGAAATATCCTAATGTAACGATATTCTAACATTTTAATCAACTAATGACTGTATATTTTACAATAGCATGCTATTTCTATAATTAACAAAATAATCGAATGATATATGTCACAAATCATGTATTTGGTAAAAACAACACTATTTCTTCCTGGCCCATTCTGTTAAATTCCAGCAAGGGCGTTAATAAAAACTTCACGATGAGTTAAAATGATATTTATGGCAATGAAATAAACTTAATCATTGGTAAAACATGAAGCGATTTTCAATGTTAAGAGCAATAGAAGATATATAGCACCGAAGAATCATTATCTGTGAGGGCATTAGAATGGTAATCAAGTGGGGTGCAATCTCGAAATTTCTCTTTAAAAAATTGATCTCGGACATTCAGTTTCTTAACACCGATTCATAAATCTTGTGGGTTAAGTAGTTGTATTCACTTGTTAAGAATTCGGTATTTTCTTGTTAGTTCTCCAGGAAAGTTAGTTCGAGGGAATGCCAATATAAGAGCTAGATATGACCAACAAAACTGTTAAAATCGACGTAAATTCGGAAAAAAGACAAACGAACGCATTGTACATACACTCCCACATTCCAGATTGAAGCATCTTTTGACTGTGTCAAGTTCTTAATGCAGGCATTTAAAGAGTTTTTGTTAACTTCATATTTAATGAAATAGACTCTTAAAATTCATTTTAAATTGTACTTCAATAAATATTGTTTAAGTCATACCTCGATTTGTAAAACAAGTGCTCATAGAATATCCTTACATCGAACTTTGATCCATGTTGGAATACATTTCATTAATTTATTAACGAAAGTTAATTTATGTTCTGTAGTAAAATTTAAGTTAGAAAAAAGTCACTTTTAGTTTTAGTATTATATATTGTATTATACAGAAAAAACAAACTGCTGGTCCAGAAAAATACCTTGGAGGATCTTTCGTACACAATATAATACCCAAAGCCTTAACCCAAGCAAAATGTCCTGCCACTGTCGTTTTCTGGAACAGCGATTTATTCTTTCTGTATATAAAGTGTATAAAATTTCGGAAAAATAAACAATCACAATTTTCTTGAGCAAACCGTTTAAACACCATTTGTCTGATTCCTTAACAGATTTGACTTTGTACTAGTTTGGACAGTCTTCCTTACACAATATTAGGCCCAAGCAATATGTCCGAGAAATTTCCGCGTGGCATAGTCCTTTTCTGGACCAACAAAATTTGTTCAATACATGTATGTATATATTAAGTGTTAAAATTTCAGGAGAAAAAAAAACAACATTTTCTCGAGTCAACGGTTTAAACACCATTTATGTGAGCCCGATGTTCTTTCTGTATAAAAGGTACTTTGAAATATATTGTAAACTTGTTGCACAAGCTCTATACAACCGCTTGTCCTGTAACAAAACAGTAATAACATTAATATTATAAATAATGTCCCCTCTTTATTCTGTCCGTATGTTTATATTTACAAAACCTGTATCATAATATTATACAAAATGGCACCTATAATATATAGATATATATCATTAATTTTATAACTCTGATGTATTGTACAATTCAGGTTAAAAGCCCATCATACAAAAAGAATGCTGTTATTATTAATTGTCAAACGCTTTTTATTTTTAGCGTTGTATTAAAGAGTCCAAAATGTTACCTTTTTGCTATAATTACCTGAACTAGTTTTGCTTCAATATGTACAACTATAGCGGTTTCGTATTTTTTTATGGAAGTCAAACTACTGCTTTGTTTACCTTTTGGTTTTTACTTTTATGATAAATAATTTCACATATAGCGCTTATTCCTGAAACATGATGTGCCTTTAAGCATATTCATATCTCTGTAATTTGTAATGATGTATGTATAACAGTGCGTTAGATAGTAGATCCAGGTCTAGCATATATGCACTCGTCTATTTAACAGTGGGGAAAATTTTAGTCTTGCTTTTTTCATTTTTTTCAACAAAATGACACTGTTTTAATATTCGCAATGTACAACATGTCCTCGAGCTTTTAGGAATTAAAATAAACTTAAATTAAGAGAAGAGTCAATATCTAATGATTGTCAAATACAAAAACAAAACCAAACCAAAACTTTTTGCTATTCACTGCACGTAATGTCAATAATAGAAGATCCTAATGTAATATTACTGTGTCATGAAAAACACGAATCTGCTAAAACTACGTATTAAACAAACAAAATGTGTTTTTATCTACATATCAACATAAGAAATATTAGATATGTCTGATAAAATTATAAACATGCCCATGGTCATGGTACTTTTAATGTAACTAGTCAGAACAAAAATATGACAGAATGACCGTGTTAATAAATACATTAAAATTGTTATTGCCCACACTTCTGCGCAATTAAAATTCAATTATTTTTAATAATTGATATCAATCTGGCTAACGACATTTATGTTGTTCGTGTTATCCCATTTAACAAGTCAATTGTAGTTAGTATGTGTTAAATCGCACGAGTTCTTTTTAAAAAATCTAAAAGATTTGGATAATAAAAGGCAAGTTTAATTATTCCACCGAAATGATTTCTTACCAATTGCAGTTCTTTTTATGTTTCATAATTTTACAAATATTTTTACTGAAGCTTAAAAATCATTATATAAAAATCATATTTCATGCGCTTTTAATGCAACGATTTTTCTACAAAATATTTGATAAGCTGATTCATTGCGCCAAAAATGAATTTTCTTTTTCAATTTTCATCAATATGATTAAAAAAACAACTTTTCTGTCAATAATAATAAAAAATTTTTTTATCAGTTTCAGTTCCACATAAAATATGATATTCTAACAATCTGGACAAACTGTTTGTAGAATTGAAATAAATATAAAGGTGATTTTTCTTTAACATTTTTAGTGTAACTTTATAAGTGTTCTTCTACGTAGGAGTTAAAAAGTCCTACGTAGGAGTTATAAACTCCTAATTATGCTTTTTTATCTCCTACGTAGGAATTACAAAGTCTTACGTAGGACTTACAAAGTCCTACGTAGGAGTTAAAAAGTCCTACGTAGGAGTTATAAAGTCCTACGTAGGAGTTACTAAGTTCTACGTAGGAGTTAAAAAGTCCTACGTAGGAGTTTAAAAGTCATACGTAGGAGTTATAAACTCCTAATTAGGCTTTTTTTTATCTCCTACGTAGGAGTTATCTTTTTTATAGAACATGTTAAATTGGCACCAGGACGCTTCCGTACAAATACGCAATAGTTAAGGCTATGCCAATGCTTACATTTGTCTTTTCTTTTTATCCACGTTAATTAGAAGTGTGTAAAGATGAACACTGTACTGTTGCTATCTGTTGTGGTTGGTGTGTTTGCTGTGACCTCCAGCTCTCCAGTATCACCCATTATAAACCCTAACCAAACTGGAAGATCTAATAGACCTGGCGGTACGTTACATAAAAAGATCGACTTGATAAATGATTCACATTACAACACAATTTACAACAACTTTCATAAAATGAAGTAATTATCAAACAAGCTACACAAACACGAATATTCAGTAATTATTTATTGCAAACGTTTCGAAATGAAGTAAGAAATTTAAGTACAATTAAGGCAGCTAGGAAAAATGGTAGAATTTTCGAGCTTTTAAACTTTCATTAAACAATTTAACATTAAAGAACGTGTCCATATGATTTTTTTCTCAAAATATTGCCTTATGTTATAATGAAATTATTCTATAAAAATAAATAAAACAGAGCATGTTAAAATCTCCATAAAACAAATGAAATGTATTCAAACTAACAGACACTATTGAAATTGTTTAACTTGTTTTGCTGTTTCCATTTCCAGCGTGTCTCCAGCCTAAGTCAACTGGACCATGTACGGAACTGATTCAACGTTACTTCTTCAACAAGAAAACATCGAACTGTGAGATGTTTTACTTCGGAGGTTGTTTTGGTACTGACAACAACTTCAACGACTTGATGTCCTGTCAGATGACATGCATGGCTGATGAGTTAGATAAAGTTCCGCCCCCACCCGAGGACAGCTTTTTCAAACTTTTTCCTTAAATTGTTATTTTTACATGTTAACTTTGAATTTGTCACATATTTACTCAAGTACTTCGTTATGTTTTGATTTGTTTGTCCAGGGTCTTTCAAATAGAGAAACACCATTGTTTGCCTAAATGTTTATTGTTGTTAACTCTAGTTTTTATTATAATTTTTAATATAATTACAATAATACATGTAAATTTAGATATATTAATGGATTACAAATATAGCCTACAGTCATAAAGCTGAAACGAAGAAAAAATCTGGCATGAAAACACTGATTCTTGTAATTATTGTAATTTTCTAAATGAAATTTTCTTGATATTATAAAAAAAGTTATAAGTTTTTATGTGTGTGTGTGTGTGTGTTTTTCTTTAAGTATTTATATACATATGTTCTTGAGAACCAACGGACAGTAAGTAAATATCATGTTTAAAATATGCGCACTTACAGTATGGGAGTAGAGTATATGTGGCGGCATATAGAAGGTTAAGTGTTTTAGTTATATAGCGACATTTTTGGCGGTCCCCGCTTAATAATCGAAGTAGATCTCATGAAAATATCAGTGCATTGTTTCTGACATGAGTAAAACTTAAGTAAAGCCACTCTTGCATTCCGCAAGGCAACATAATACTTTCTAAAAAAATTAACATTTAGATGGCATCATATTGGAGCTAAAACTCGGATTCATTGAGCTAATTTAATAGTACAAAAAAGGATAAATGCCGTAGTTTTTTTTTCTTCAAAAATAGTTGATTTACATCCTTTAAGACATTTAGTTAAAACACGTCTTTTCGTTGATACAAAAAAAACAACATTTGGTAGGTCAATTTGGTCCTAAACTGACGCCAAAAAAAAATTGGTAAAATGCCTAAACACAGGTCTAATGATCTACTGCTTAAACCCCTTCCACATTAGTAAGGTACCCTACAACGCCACAGGGTTCTTCGAACGCCGTGCCTGTAATACAAGCATGTGTGGACATATCAAGGCGTTCCCTGAGACGTCACTGCGTCTCTATACTTCGCAAATAAACAACGTCAAGCTGAATGACGACAGTGGGAGAGGAAAATCAGTCGCCAATACTTTTTTTCAGAAATAAATATGGGCGAATTAGCAAATAATTGCGAAAGACAGGATAGTATTGGTTCATAGTAGTGAAATTCAAATTGCGTGCAGAATTAGGACTCATCCATGCTTTACAAATGTTGATTATATTTTAGAGAGGGTAAAAATGTTGTTCATTTTACATGAAAAGATTACTTACTTTATCTTTCGAACATTGCCCTGAAACTATAAAATATATGTAAGGTAAAAACTAATTATTTGGAGTTATCAAGGTGTATACTTAAATGACAAGAATTTTGTTCAGAAAGAATGCATAAATTCACCGCAGGGCTCTATTGTTGAATGTATTCAAATAACTCCCGACTTTTAAGATAAGAACGGATTCTGCTACATTGGTCGTGTAGAGGAACAGCACCCCGGAGTCGCACGTTGAAGCACCTTTCAGCACCGTTTAGATCGCACATATTTTGCTACGCCTGTGGCATTTAGTGCCCAACGGAGGACTGTGTTTGTATGTACATATATAATAAGTCCTGATAGTGTCACATATTGTGAACTTAACCAGTTAGAAATTTGAAGACGAATTAAAATATAGCGGGTAGTAAGTCCGGTCTTTATAATTTGATCACTGATAAGTTTTAGTGGTCTGTACTAGTAGCTACGCCAGTCAGTTAAGATGCGGAAAGGTATTCCGAAGGTGTCAGGTTCGAGTCCCGGCCAGAGTGCAATTTTTTCGCATTCTTAGCTCTTTGATATTGGTCAATTATGAAAATTGAACATGCTTTTAAATAACATACTGAATATTGCTTATTGGACGGTATTGCCATTTTCGGTTCAGTCTTGTAATTTCTAGTTTGAGTGACAAAGGATGCAATGAGTTGATGAAATTAGGGTTTGGCTATATAAGTCATCAGCTATTATGATGGAATTATAAACATTTTATCTTGGTCAATACTAGAATGTAAGTAAACAGTTCCATTTTATTATTCGACTCCCGGCAATCAATTTCAATTAGAAATTTAATAGGTATACATTACATTCAAATTAACTGCATGACATTTTTATGAACTCTGCATACCAAAAATTATTACTAGATTGATTGACGGCACATATGTCTTTTATAAAGCCTTTACCCTTACATTAACATGTGAATTATGTTCACTTAATATCCACTGAACTTTGATCAAAAATGTAATTTTAATCAGTAGAAATTGTTTAATCTATATGTATGTAACCAGACATTAATTCAGGAATATTGAAATTAAAAGAATAATATAAAATCCAGCTTAGGGAATTTAATTAGCAGTCAATGATTTTCTTAACATTAAGCTTCTATAAAAATTCTAAGCAAATATTCCCTTCCCTTTTCCAGGAATTAATTAAACCTACATTGTAAATGTTTTGTTATACGTGAAGGTAGTGTAAATGTTTTGTTATATATGAATGTAATTTAAATGTTTCATTATATGTGTATGTAGTGTAAATGTTTCATTATATGTGAATGTAGTGTAAATGTTTCATTGTATGTGATTGTAGTGTCAATGTTTTATTATATGTGTATGTATATGTGAATGTAGCGTAAATGTTTCATTGTATGTGTATGTAGTGTAAATGTTTCATTGTATGTGAATGTAGTGTAAATGTTTCATTATATGTGTATGAAGTGTAAATGTTTCATAATATGTGTATGTAGTGTAAATGTTTCATTATATATGAATGTAGTGTAAATGTTTCATTATAAGTGTATGTAGTGCAAATGCTTCATTATATGTGTATGTAGTGTAAATGTTTCATTATATGTGTATGTAGTTTTAAATGTTTCATTATATGTGATCTAGTGTAAATGTTTCATTATATGTGAATCTAGTGTAAATGTTTAACTATATGTGAATCTAGTGTAAATGTTTCATTATAATTATGTGAATCTAGTGTAAATGTTTACTTTCATTATATGTAAATGTAAAGTAAATGTTCGGTTATATGAATATAATTTAAATGTTTCGAAAATCTATTACATAAATTTCAAAATTAATAATATGTTATTACACCTCACTTTTTTCGTAATATTAATTTCCCATAGACCTCTGGGAGTTTTTCTTATACCCCGGTCACATATTCACGGAATACGACCACGGAAGAGTCACAGATTAATTCCGGCATCGTCCGTAGCTACCCGTAATGGTCAGTAGCTCTCCGTAGTGTAGCCGTAATCAATCGTAGTAGTCCTTGTATATCCGTAACGATCCTTGACAATTTTTGAACATGCACAAAAATTTGCTACGAAAAAAATGAATCGTAACGTATCCCTACTAGTCCGTATTAAACCGTACTGATACGTACTGGTCCGTACGAAAACCGTACTAGTCCGAACTGATTCGTAGGCCCCAACTTGTCAAGGATTTCTACGGTTTAATACGGAGAACTACGTATTTGTACGGTTAACCTACGTATAAGCTACGGTTTTAATACGGATTAATACGGCATTGTCACGGAATGGCACGATTGTAATACGTTGTGCTACGGAGAGGCAGGGATTAGCACGGTCTTATACGGTTTATTGCGTTGCAACACGAAACGGCACGGAATGGTACGGTCCACCACTGTTTAGTACGGATAAATAAAGTATCATGTACTTTTTCAAGGGTATAAATACTATCTTCTTGTTAAAAACAGACATTTTTGCGTTTTCATGTTGCGAACATAATCATGAACATTCAAAAAAAGATATTTGCCATTTACTGGCTGTAACTGTATATTGATATGGCGCAGAATGCGGAGGCAGTAATCGAGATGCTTGATGACATGTATAGAGGTATAAAATATATCAATATTATACTACAATGCATTAGTAATAGAATAACATTTAAGGTTTCATATTTTACAAAACATTGGATCGTGAAATTGGAGTATATATGTACATGAAACGCAGTGTCTCTTAAGCCTCGGACGTTGGCCCTTAAAGCAGCACGCCTCCAGATTAATGCTAATTTTCATGAAAATTTTGAAAATGTATTTGAATGTGAAATATTGTGAAGTAACCAAAAGGAATCAATTTACACATTATCAATGGCATTTACAAACCGAGTAAATTACCAGAAAGTGGTCAAAATATGCATAGCCTTTACTGCGTTAGTAACGCAGTAGAAATATAGTTGTAAAAACTGAAAATCAGTCATTTATCAAACATAATATGTAAAATATTACTTGAATCTTGAAACGTTTTACGTTTCCTTGCATTTTAGTACATTTTTCTAAAGTTTGATTTTATTGAAATATTTTGACTCATCTGGAGGCATGTAGCTTTAAGTGATAATAAGATTAGTTAACAAGCTTTTTACATATTCTTAAAACACAAACATTCATGATAATTAATGTAATTAATCAACATTTTTCAATGCTGTAATGATATTTATATTTAACCAGGTACGAGAAGACAGAGGAGATGGTGGTCTAGAGATTGGCTTTTACGAAGACACCTTCATGGCCAATATGAGACTCTCATGGCCGAACTTGTTGTCGAGGATCCGGCGTCCTACAAGAAATTCACTAGAATCGGACCTGATATATGTCCCGGGGTTCTGACGTGATGAAGCCAAATCCTCTCCGTATAGATCCGTGGCGATTCGTTCTTCTCCGTATCAAACCGTGCTTATTCGTACTAACCCGTGCTTATACCATAGCAGACCGTAGTGTATCCGTAGTGCATCCGTCCTGATTCGTGTCGCTCCGTATCAAAGCGTGTCGGTCCGTAACAATCCGCGTCTCTCCCGGGGCTTTTACCTACATTTTGGCGGTATATCCGTCGAACTCCGTACTCATACCGTTGTGTTTCCGTACCGGAACCGTAGCGGACAACGGAATTTCAAATTTCCGTAGCAATCCGTGACCGATTAGACCGTAGCCCTTCCGTGGTGTTATCCGTGAATATGTGACCGGGGTATTACTGTTAATGCAAGTGTACCACGTGATTAAGAATTTTGTACTGTATTTTTAACAGTATAAAATCTGGTCACGTAGTGTATTTTCTAAATAAAATGAAATAAAAGTGCCGCCATTTTTTTCTCGATTCATTCTTATTCACGATATGGCATCACCGAAGTTACTATGACTCTCATAAAATTCAGTTCTTTGCACATTAGAGTTCTTTTCGAGTATAAAATATCTTTTTGTTGAATAGTCAAACAGTTAACATCCGTTTTCAACGGAAGTAATTGTAATGTGCAGACATAAGAGAATGCAACAAAGGATTATTTAACAATTTTTAACCAGTGAAACGTAACT